CCGGAATGCAGAATCCCTGACAGCATTCAAAAGACAACTGAAAACTCATCTCTTTCGTGAGCACTTAACATAAAAAAAAAAATTCTTTCCTTTTCCTTTAAATCCTCGCTTATCTGGCTTATGCTACTCCGAGCAACGTCTGAACTTTGTATTTTGAGCACTTCTTGCGTTGTTTTTGCCTCTTCACGATGACTCGCTTGGTTTAGTCCTCAGTTGTAAGTCGCTTTGGATAAAAGCGTCTGCTAAATGACTAAATGTAAAAATGTGAATGTACTGTCAGGACCCATGCACTGCCTGACTGACAAAACAAGCATTCAAAACATTCACAAACACTTCGTGCATGCTATTTGTCGATAACTAGTGCCTTGCTGCAGTGTGGTTCGTTGACTACATAAAAAGAAAATGTCATTTTATTGGTTGTCAATAATGTCACGCATGATTGCTTAATGACATGCGGTGGACACAAACAAATGTTTTTGTCCTGCCCGGTGTGTGTGCTAGCAGTCGTGCTTGAAGTGGCCAGATTGTTGTACATGAGCTTGATGAGCATTGATACCTTCTGCCTGTCTCCCATTGAAAAAGAACTGCAAATTTGTGATTTAAGTCGAGTCTAACACGACCTTAAAAAGTTGGCCCCGTGTACATCTGAGAGTGAAGGATAAAAACACAAAAAAATCCTAAGGGTAGTTGGTTGAGTTCATTGATTTGATATTCTCTAGTGTAGTTCTTTTGTTGTTGTCAGGCTCCTCTGAAGCAGAGCTGAGTGTAATGCCAGCCTGTAAAGAGCGTTCTTATTGGACTGTTAAAAGAAAACACAAAAAGTAGTGATGTGTGCATGTTTGTCTTGTTTCAGCAAAAATAGTCTTTCTCTTCTCATCATTCTCCGCTGTGGTTTCAGTGATGGTTTTTTTTTTTTTTTTTTTTACTTTCATCTCTTAAGTCTCTCTCTCTCTCTATGATTCAGGGAAATCTTGACTCATGTTATTGTGCTTCAGATGAAAAGGTGCTGTTTATTTCTCCCCATGTTTTGCAATCGTTTTATTTTGTTATGTGCACTGGCTTTACTCTGTTGATGTTGCCTCACTGCATGAGCTTAGAGACCAGAGGTTATGCAAGATTGTACTGGGGTTAGTGTAAAGAGGTCAGAGGCCTATTCAGTGCATTTTCAAAATGGTGCTTGACCCTATGTTATTATTTATTTATTTGTATTATTTGTGTGGACTAAATTACGGTTTAATGGGAACAAATCAAGTGAATTTTTGAATGGTCTGTGACAAATGGCTTGCTAAATTCTTGCACACACACACACATACAAACAGTTAGAGGAAGTTTTGGATTGAACTGATGTTCTTGGTTAACTTCCTGTCAGATTTTGTTTCTCGGTTTTGTTTTCTCACTTCCATGTCACCATGTGCTGTGGAGAGACGATAACTATCAGTAGGGGTGTAACAATATATCGTGCCACAATATATCGCAATACAAAAATGCAACAATATGTATCGTGGATAGTGACAATATGTATCGTGGATAGTCCCCCCAAAATAAAAATTACTGTGTGAGAAAAAAATTCAAGTTTTCAGAGTTTTAGTGCAAGTACTACATTAAACTACTATATATAAAATGTTGATTATAATGTATAATAATGCAATGGGGTAATATTTGTGGGTCCTGATAATGCCAAATGTCTGATGTTACCAGTAAAAAGTGGCCGACATTATTTTAAATGTGTTGTTAACCTTTTACCATATGTCTTGGAGTATCGCAATAATATTGTATCGTGAGTTCAGTGTCGTGATATGTATCGAATCGTGACATGAGGGTACCGTTACACCCCTAACTATCAGACAAAGGTTACTTGATGTTTTTCACACTGTCATTACACCTTACTTTTTTTTACTTCTTTTAAAAAAAAAAATGTTTAATTGACTGTATTAGCAGTGAAAAATGGATTGGAAATTGTGAGGAAAATAATCTGTAAATGACTCAAACCAAATTAGCTCATCTTATTTGGAATCTTAGAAGCAAAGTCAATGGCAGAGGTGGAAAGTAACGAATTACATTTACTCGCGTTACGTAATTGAGTAGTTTTTTTGTGTACTTCTACTTTAAGTAGTTTTTAAAATCTGTACTTTTACTTTTACTTAAGTAAGTTTTGTTTGAAGTATTGTACTTCGCTACATTTGAAATCATATCCGTTACTGAGTAAAAAATAATAATACAAGGGAGAAAAAAAAAAATCACACTCCGGAAACTACTGCATTGGCTGAGGGCCGGGAGAACAAACGCGCAAGAAAGGTGACGCAGACCCAGCTGAGGCTGAATGCGCCCCCGAATTCTTATGAAGCGAATTATGGCAAGTATGCAAATACTTTGTAGAAAAAACGAGTGGTTGTCCTCGAGGATAGATATCCAATTTGCAAAAAATGTGGACGCAAAGTGGCTGCAAAAGGAGGATACATAGGACACCATCCTCCTGCAGATAAAGGTATGTCCCGATGATTATAACTTAAGGCCGAATGACTTACGTGATGCAGAGGGAATCCCGGAATCCAGTCATGAAAATGGAATTATTCACATAACGCAGATGTCACGTAAAACACGCAAAATAATGGATGGATGAATACATGGAAAGTAGAAATGTGCAATAAATCCAATCGCGACATGGTCTGTGAATATTTAAGCACAAAAATACTGCTATGTAAATATATAACCTATTTGTTCTGCTGAGCTGCGCCGCTTTGTCTACTAACGTTACATACTCAAGTACGCGTGACGTTCATGGTGTTTTCAGCGTCTCACAAACAATTTGAGGACATGAATACATGAACATTTTCAGAGCTGCTCTGAGAGAACGCCTTATGAGCATTTTCATAATTTTATTTGAGAAAAACCATTGTCAAATACACTTTGAAACGGGTCTTCACTACAACCTGTCAAAATAAAAGTTCGATTTTACTAAGGAGAAATTCTGGGCATAGAATAGAACGAACTTCTCAAAATAATGATAACAACAATAATACATTTTATTTAAACATTATTTAAAGGAATATATATTTTTTTGTCCATGGTTTAATTTAGTAAATCTGTTTTTGCAGCGCTTCCCCAAAAAATAAAAGGACACAAAGTTTAAATTTACATTTGATTACCACCATTTTTGATAATATATTTGGATTAAATCATAAAAAGAAACATTAATTTTCTGAATAAAATACATTTCATAGGACTATATTATTCTTAAACAATTTAATAAATTATTAATGTTAAAAATAAGTTGTTAATCTAATTCATTATCAATTATTGAATTTAATTGATTAGACATGTTTTATTGAAATTTTAATAAACAAAACAAACAAATGGTTTCAAGTTTGTTATAGTAAAAGCATTTGTTCAACAAAAAAAACCCCGTTTTCATTAATTTAACTGTCATTTTAACTAATGAAAATAATAATAATAACCATAATTTAATAATACTGTTTATTTATTTAAAGGTGCTATATGTAACTTTTCTTCTAAAATGAATCCTTTTTTTATTGCCTGTGTGTGAAGGGGTTGTAATCACACATTACAATGATCCACTTGTCGGGTTCTGCTATTACCTCTGAAGGCCAGTATTCCTATTTCTATGTGAAGTCTCTGGGTCGGATTTTCTGCGAAAGCCATCGAATGTGACGTGCATGCGCTCCCGAGCCTCTCTCCTTTATATGCAGTCTATGCGACGGCACTGCAGTTGACGACATGGAGTCTGATAACACCAACAAACGACCTGCCTCCAGCACAACACACACTCCAACACAAACTCCACAAAAATATAAAAAACAAAACAAAACAAAAATGATCTGCTGAAGCTCGTCAGGCCAAACGTGAATCGGATCGACTTAGGACGAAAACACGGATCAACATCGGCAGAGCGTTTGAATTATGGAGAGACCTCCGCTATTTTTATTGCGATAAATTACAAGTTTTCAGATATGCTGAAATAATGTTAAACTATAATGAAATAGCAAGGTAAACTACAACATACATGAGACATGAAATGAATACAAAAGACTGTTCCAGGATAACAAAAAGTAGGTGCTTTAGGATGTAACTTTTATTTTATGTACTAGATCTACTGTCTAACGTCACTCATCCCACTACTATCATATTGTTTATAATACACATTTCCAGACACGTTCAGTACAGTAATGCTACTTCCTACGATCTTACTGTTACACTGAAATTGTTCAGTCTAGTTCACTAACCGTTTTCGTTATCACATTCATCTATGTTGACATTGCTGCCTGATTGTGAAAGATACACGAATAGTTAGTGAAATGCCTTATGCTAGATAACACCACATGTAACGTTATCATGGTACGAGCATGGAGCATTATTGTAACGTTGCAGTGGGAGTTTACATGAGTTTCCAGCATGTTGTGTGATGCTTTCTCCGGTGTGTTGAAAGTCTCAGTGTGGCCGGTACCATGAGTGCTCGCTCTTGTGTTCGAGCAGGCGCAAGAGCATGAGTGCTCTTGTAAAAATTGGTTGCAATCTGAAACATCACCGATAGAGGCAGCTAAAAAATACATATAGCACCTTTAATAATTGATTAATACTGTAAACCGTGATATTTTCGGAGACGTTATCATACTGTGAAAATCTCATACCATTAATACAACGCTACACGGGGGATTCCCACCCCCGCTGTTAAAAAAGTAACTCAGTAACTTTTACTCTGAGTAAATTTTAAATGAGCTACTTTTTACTTTTACTTGAGTAGATTTTTAGACCGGTACTTTTACTTGTACTTAAGTAAAATTTCATTGAAGTAGTAGTACTTTTACTTGAGTAGAATATTTTATTACTCTTTCCACCTCTGGTCAATGGGATGCATTTGTGCATTTAGCTAAAACACGGTGTGAACGCTATTTACTGACAGATAGTGCCTAAAACATGAATGAAAAATGTTTGTTAAACTGTTGTCCTAAATTGTAACCAGTTTATTTCTGTGTGTTTTCCAGATGTAGGAGAGCAGAAGGCCGTTATGCTGTGGACAGAGCTGCAATCATCAGTCACTGGAACTGGCTACAGGCCCAAGTCTCAGACCTGGAGTACCGTATACGTCAACAGACCGACATTTACAGACAAATACGCTCCAGCAAGGTGTGCACAGATACACAAAACATGTACATTATCACATGCTTTTTTAAAATTTTGAATCATGGAAGTTCACTTCATGCTGTTTATCCCAGAATCACTAGTGTAGTTTAAGTTTTAACCCAGCGGAGGTGCCGTCTCCGCTGGTAACTTGGCAGCGCAGGTTGTCTCTCGGGTTCCCGTGGTGAATTGTACTCTTGTGGGATCGTTGTTTCATGTTTCTTCAGCTCACTGTTTTTTTTTTTTTTTTTAAAGCGCTTCTCCAGCTTGTTGTCCCTGTGTGATTCAAATATAATTTGGAGAATATCATCAAGTCTTTATCTGACATGTGAAGTGATTGATGCATTTAAAAATCATTCTGACTGGATGTGAAACTTCTGAAATGTATAGAAAAATTAAATAGAAAACAGTTCTTTCAAACTGGACTAATATTTTTCAAATTGCTGTTTTAGATCAAATGAATGTGATTGGCCAATGCAGATTTCAAAAAGTTGTTTATTTGAATTAAAGGAAGTGCGTGACATTAACAGTACCATCAGATTGCCAATCTTTTGTGAGTTACTACAGATAAACATTTGATCTGCTGTGTGCTTTTAGACTTAGCAAATCTAAAAGAAAAAGATTTGAGGATTTAGACAGAGGAGGAAAAGCAATGTCTCCCAGCTTTGGTCTATAATTTGTGTGTGGTTGTTTGTTTTCTAGGGCTCTGTTGTACTTGGGGTGAGCTCAGTGTGTGAGTCAGCACCAGAGGACAGCAGTGACTCAAGGACAGAGAACATTACCTGCCCTGTCGCACGGGTAAGGCCAGGAGACACAGACACATGACCATATTAAATAAACTACCAACAGAGCCAGTCTAGTCCTGAACTTAGTTTAAACTATAATTCAAGACCAATGTATTTATTTACTGTTATTGTTAGATTACAGGTAATCATTTATCAATCCATAAAACAGTCCAAGACCCATTAGTGTGTTTATTCTCATACAAACAGATAAGATGCCCATGACACGGGCCTACGCACAGCCTAGGAGAATGCTGGGATTGTTGAGCTAGAGGATTGAGAATAGGGGCTGCAAACACTCGATCTCTTTGTCTGTTGTATGCAAAGCGCTGCTGACCTTTTCATTCAATCAGAGTAGTGAAGAAATGCAGCAAGATACCATTCAACTCATCCAGACCAACTCAGGGGGGAAATTGGTGGGATGTCCTTTCCAACATCACATTTGTTTTTGTTATTTTGTCTTTTTAGGAGCATGATACTGTTGGAGTGGAAGTGTCTGTATCATCCAATGGCATCGTCACAGAAACTGGCTTGAAGAAAAGCTGTGGACCTGTGAGACAGGTCAATGGTGTTATCAACAGGTATGATATTATTTAAAGGTGCATTCATTATTTTATTTTTCTCTACATTAAAAAGTTTACTACAAAAAGAATTTTACTGTCATGTTCATTCATGCTTATTTCCTCTCTTCATCCAGCTTACGACCCGGTTCCCCTGTCACCTCAAGCCCAGACGAGCAGAGCTGCTCTGAGTCTCAGCAGAAGTTGGAGCTGGGCCCTCTGGCTTCCTCTGTGCATGACAACACATGTGTGTCGTCCCGCACGCGGCCACTGCTCTCATGCAGGAAACGCAGGGTCCTCCGGCCCGGTTCGCTCACCAGTCTCAATCGTAAGGTAAGGAGATATGTGCATCTTCTCAAGATCCAGTGGCTGGTGTAGTTTTGAGCAAAAAGGGCTGTTCACACTTGAGTCTGATATGAATACTTGACACATAACTAATATAGTTTCACTAAGAATATTCACTAAGGATGTACATTTGACTTATTTTAACCCACTTTAGTCTGAATAAAAACAGACAGATCTTTGCAGTAAGATGTGTCAGATTCTTAGTGAAGAAGGTCACTTGGTGTGAATGGGCCTTGAAAGCTGTAGTGAGAGATGTGTGAGACAGAACAAACCAGCTCTTTCAGTGTCACCTGTGGATGTGTTTTACTGAAGATGCACTGAGCTCCTTAAGGTCCCTGCGGGCTTCTTGCAAAGGTTACAGATTAAATGGAGGTGACACAGAAACTGCAGTGTTACAGAGATCACAGTGCTGCTCCAGAACTGACTCTACTGTCGTTTATTGTGTTTTAAGTTACTATGAATAGTATATTTATTGTTTAAATATATAGGATCAGGATTTTGGTTCAGTGGTTTTTCTATGTGAAGTAGAAGCCAAGTGGATGTAGTTTGAAAACTAGTTTGGCTGGTTAGGATAGAAACTCGGATTTATATAGAAACCAGAACTTTTATCATTGATCGCCTCACACCTGGTTATGACATGGTGTTAACAGTCCCTGTCCAACAGGCAGCTGTCCTCTGAAAGATGGGACAATATCTGCCCTATTCACACTTGCATTTTGCTGCATTCATAAGACAGCTTCAAAGTCTTAGCACTGCTTTTATAGATCTGTTTGCTTTCTGAACAGCCTTTAAAACTCGATTCCTCCCATAACACAGGCCCACTGTGAGCGAGAACGCGCAGGCATGTGCTAAAACAATAAGCGCAACCCCAGTCGATCTCAGCTCCATTACAAATAACAGCGCTTGGATGTCATTCAGAGACTGCGCTCTTGAAATGTTATGAGAAATGCTGCCAGTGTCATCAATGTACTAACAGCCAAATTCACTCACACTGCCAGTTATAAACTACCTGCTAACTGATGTAGTCCAATCCTAACGTTACAACAAGCACTCTAGATAAACGCTACCCCAGTTAGAGGCAGACACGCAGTGGCTTTTAAAATTTTACACCATTATGTTTGAACACTGACAAAGACCGAAACATACTGTTTAGCTTAATCTCATTGTAAGTAAAGTAGGTTCAACATATAAAAACTTGATGTTGAAATGTTTAAAATGGATCGTGAAATACTAATTTGCATTTCATTACAACCAAGAAAGAAGATCAGTTCTGTAATTCCATGTGTTTTCTGTGATTGCAGACATTATTGTCCCTGTACAAACTGTCCTGCTCTAATGTGAAGCACTCTTGTTTGAATAGGCTCGGAAAAACCGGGCACAGTTGCCAATAGCAACCCTTTCTACCCAGTGCTGTGCTCTGGGTTAATGACACGAACACATGAGTGCTAGAGAACCTGCCACATGCAAAACTGTGTGAGCGGCTCAGGATCCATGTGTGGTCATCTGCTGCAGAGATTTGTATGAGAGCATCAGGTTGACTCCTGTAAATGGAAACAAAGGGAAAGGCTGATCCCTGGCAGAACTAAATTTTGGTCGCTGATGCTCCTGAGATTTTATTAACAAAAGCAAGATCACAGTGGAAGTCACTTGAAAGACTGGATTTAAGATGAATAAAAAGCATAATTGATGACAGTCTATAGATGCTTTGATATAAAGGCTCTTTCTGCAAAACTCATGAAATTCACATTTGATCCTATCAAGGTTGGAGCTGGGATTACTGCCAGACACACAAAAAAGTGTAGTGTCCACTAGTGTTGTCACGATACCAAAATTATTGTTTCGATACCGATACCAAGTCAAGAATTGCGATTTCGATACTTTTTCGATACTTTTCCTGAAAAGGGAGAAACACTCAAATATCATTGCTGTGCTTTATTTTAAAACTGGGACAACATTCCAATCATAACACACTAATAAATGAACATATGAACAGCAGATAGGCTATATTAACCATTTGAACAAAATATGAAAAATATAAAAAATTAATTAGAGCAGCATTATCTCAGTTATCATAAGAAACATAAGATTTTATCAATATCAATGCCACTGACGATTCTGCTTATCGATCCGATTCTTTAACGATTCTCTTATCGATTCATGATAGCACTGTGTGGAAAAAAGTAGTCATATGCTTTTTCGGGGGGAAAAAACAAGTGTTTTTATTTGTTTTATGTAATTTATGTAATAAATGAACTCTTATTACAAAGTGTTAACGATTAGTTATACACCGATTCAGACAGATCAGTTGTTTTAACCATTCATTAAAACGAATCGGTTCAAATGAGTCATTAGTTCGCGAATTGGACGTGTCATTATCGGACGTGTGCGCGTTGTGTGATTATCCAGGCGGTTAGGACATCCCACTGTCATCACAGAAAACATTTCATGACTGGATAGTTTTTTTCGTTTATTTAAAGTGTGGTTTATGTCAGCTGAATGTGCGGAACGATTCAGAGAAGATAAGGCAACGTATTTTACCACAATTTACACCCAGCGGTAATTCAAAAAAAAAAAACTCCGAATGCTCCACATGAAACTTTAGTCTCCCGACCTTACCATCGTGTCGAATTATTTTGATTAATATGTGCGAGGGAGAGAGAGAGAGAGAGCAAGACAGCGCTTAGTTTTGAGACGGTGAAGCCTTGTTTATACTTTCGCCTGGCTCCGCAGAGAGAGAGAGAGTGCGCGCGCGCGACCGGGGCTCGCTCGCTCTCTCTCTCTCTCTCTCTGCTCGTTCAGTTCACGCGCCCTGTCACACGCGCATGAGGAGAAAAACACAGACGTCCATAGGGAGGCACTGGAAGCGTGCAACACACACCAACATGCAATACTCTCTTACAAATCTGGAACGCGGTCATTCTTAGAAGTATCGATACTAATAAATTTAGGTATCGTGAAGTTTTTAATTTCCGAGTATCGCGATACTTTTGAAGTATCGGTGCACCTTGCAACACTAGTGTCCACGGATCCTTAATGTCTTAAATCTACCAGTTTAGCAAAACAGACAACAAACAGTTTAGTCTTGCCTTATTCGTTGATGTCCTAAATCTGTTCCCAAAACTGATCATCATTTTCATCCCTCAAAGGTCATTTTACATTAATTGCAAAGTTTTAGTGTAGGTAAACATTTCTGTCAGTTAGTAATTGTTAAAGGTTTAGTTCACCCCAAAATTAAAAAATTCTTGTCATCAAGCCTAAATTCAATGTCTTCAGAAAATGTGGACGAAACTACTCAATTCATATGGATTAGTTTTACGATCTCTTTATGAACTTTTTGAAGTGTCAAAGTGGTAGTTGCGTAGCTGTGAATGAAGCGTACTGAACTGGCTCAGATTTTATAAAAAAAAATCTTCATTTGTGTTCGAAAGATTAATAAAAGTCTTACAGGTTTGTAACAACACAAGGGTGAGTAAATGATGACAGAATTTAAATGTTTTGGTGAACTTTCCGTTTAATACATAAATTACACTACCGTTCAAAAGTTTGCTGCAGGTCAAATTTTTAAAAATATTTTTTAAATCTCTAACTGTTACGTACACACCGCCGCCGGCTTGAGCTGCAAAGAAGCTCTGGCCGTCCTGTTAAGGACGCTTGTCAAAAAGTACGGGGATGCTTCTTGGCGCTTTGGCCGCTCTGACGTAGCAGCATTCTATGTTCGATCATGGGAGAAGAGAAGTGTCACAACATGAAATGTAAACCGAAAAAACAAGCAATACATTGACACTAGAAACCTTTTATAATGACAGCATTTTTATAACCGTTTTGGGCACATTTGTTCGGGGAAAACAAGAATAATTAGCTATTATTATTATTATTTGCATTTAGTGAAATTGGTTAAATCGGTGTTATCGTGAGCAAATTAATTGCATTCCCGCTTAAAACGAGCGTTCGTAAATATTTCCAATGCCTCGTTCTTTTGTAACTGGTCCCTATATGCAAACAACGTCATATCATAAATGATAGGAAACCCAGCAACGGCGATGATTAGCTTCTCTTCCATTTTCTCGGAACTAATGTTTTGGTAGGAACGAAAGTTTACATCGTATGTTTCTCAGGAATCAGCCAGCGCGAAGGACATCTATATTCCGATTGGTTGCTGGCTGTTTGCAGCCGCTTGCCGCTGAACCGCGTCATAGCTCATTACCATAAAGTTGAGCTACTTTCAACTTTCTGGTTGACGCTCTGGTCGCTCAAAACGCGACGCCGGTGGATTTGACGCTCCCTGCAGCCGAGAGAAGCCAGCTTCCATTGAAAATTAATGACTTCTGGTAACCTTGGAAGCTCAAGTCGGTGGCGGTGTGTACGTACAGTTATACTTACCAAGGCTTAATTTATTTGTTCAAAATTACAGTAAATAAAGTAATATTGTGAAATAATATTTGTTTAATATATTTTACAATTCAATTTATTCCTTTGAGGTCAACGCTTACCGTATTTTCCGCACTATAAGGCGCACTTAAAAGCCTTTAATTTTCTCAAAAAACTACAGTGCGCCTTATAATCCGGAGCGCCTTATATATGGATGGTGAACACACGTTCACCAAGACGGGGAGACAGCGCCGGGCGACTTACGCCACTATCTGCCAATGGATCGTGGATGCCTGGGCTGATATATCAGTCTCAACTGTGATCCGAGCTTTCACGAAGGCAGGAATAATCTCTTTATTCAGCCGGCTCACATACCCGTATTTACTTCCTGTTTTCGGCCGAAGTCCACAGTAGTTGATTGTCGAGTTCGCGCGCGCGTGTGTTCAACATCTGATTCGGATGAACTATCCATTTGAGCTGATATTCTCAGAACACCGTCATCGGCTGACAGCTGACAGTCTGAGTCTCCACTGTTGCTTAGTTACCAATGACCGCGCGCACGCACTCGACAATCGCCTACTGTGGACTTCGACCGAAAACAGGAAGAAAATACGGGTATGTGAGCTGGCTGAATAAACATCATTTTTATTCATATCTTTCACATTTACTGCAGTCAGATTCACCGTGTTCACTCACATGGCTGTGCACTTGTAATGACACATTAGGGTTGTTAAGAGGCTAAAAGCAGGTTTAAAACTTGTCCCGTTTAAGTCAACAGTTGTGCAAATTTTTAAAAGAGGATAACACTGTGTTTTTGTCGTTGTTATCTGTACTGACAGCACAAATTTACAAAAAATGAGCTCAATGTTAAAATTGACCGGAGTTTTCCTTTAACGTTTGAACAACGTTACCATGGGAGTGAACGGAGTTGTCAGAAAGCTTAATAAAGTTTGACTTTATCTGACTGTTTTGTTGACATTTGTTGACATCTAGTGGATGCATAACGCAAGCCCAATCAAACGTTTGACTGCAGTATCTTATGCGCCTTATAATCCGGTGCGCCCTATATATGAAAAATGTTCTAAAATAGGTCATTCATTGAAGGTGCGCCCTATAATCCGGTGCGCCGTATAGTGCGGAAAATACGGTAAATTTCACCATTACATGATCCTTCAGAAATCATGCTAATAGGATGATTTGGAGCCCAATAAACATTTATTATTATTATCAATGTTAAAAGCAGTTGTGCTGCTTAATATATTTGTGAAAATCGTGATACATTTTGTCTGGATTCTTTGGCCCATCGAAAATTTCAAATGGAAAACATTTGTAATATTATTAATGTCTTTACTGTAACAGTTGGTCAATTTAATACATCCTTGCTGAATAAAATTATAAAAATTTTAACCATAGTATACATTAAGAATTAATTTATAGTTCTATGATATAATTTACTGAATTCTGAATATCATATATGAATTCAAGGCTAATATGTTGGGGGGGGGTTTTCAGTTGGGTTTTGTTTGCTTTTTATGGACTGGTCGCCATAATTACTTTTCATACACACACACTAACTTTTCTCCTTGTTGTTCTCTGTCACACTCAGAGGTCAGTGGCTCCTCGCTGTGGCTGTGAGCTGAACACTCAGTGTGTGATGTGCAGTGGATGTGCTCTCCCTCCTGCAGACACCCAGCATCAGCTCCCCCTACTGGACAGACTGGCACAGTTCGACCCCTGCATTCACCCCATCCTCTCCTTTCCAGATGGTGAGGACGCGTACCCTGGCTCTTTATGTTTCTTTCATTCTTTCCAAAATGCAAACATGTACGTAGACACGGACAAAAACAGTGACGGCATCGCACATGACTAGCGCAGCTCTATCTATCCTCCACCTATTGTTTCCCAGTTTGCCTCAAGGATGAATTTTAATACGTTTTTTTTTTTTACTGCATAACAATTAGGTGCTAATTTAAGTGTTAATTATTCTGGACACTTCTTAAAATAACCTGCAGGCTGCTCTGGGTTTGGAGCAGGTCATTAGTGCTGAGATCTCAGAACTGTTTTTGCTTTTCATGTCTGCGAATTCAGTAACATTTTGATTTGAAGAGCTGATCTTAGATCAGCAATCCTTCCCTGTGCTGGTCAGATTAGCTGATCATGCATTCATCTGCCTGACCTTAGCGGTGATAACCATTTTAAAGAGCAGTGCAACCTGACTCTGGTTAACTGAGCCAGTAGCGGCTAGCTTTATCCGACTAACTGAGACAGACGTATTTTCCCTCATTAATACGAGCCTGCTGTCCTCTAATCTGCCGTCTATTGTGCAAATGAATAATGGGCGTAGAAGAGGCAGGTGACACCACTGGTGAAACCCGAGTAGATGGAGGGAAATAGGAAGAGGAACCAAAGTATGATGCATTCTAGAATCGAGCTCTGATTCCTGCTTTTGGAGAATTACTCGCATGAGTGCTACACTTTGTGTCATTGATGTTTACAGACTATTAGGTCAGTCACTATTCACATTATTACAGTAGCCAAAGGATGAAAAGCTATGACAAATAGTTAGCAACTCCGTGTTTTGGGTTTGATTTCTATGGAATGCACATAATTGTCATTTGTCTCTCATATTAATTTTAATATATATCTTTTTCTATTTAACTTTTCTTTATATCTTTATTTTTTATCATTTAAAAAAAATAATTTATTTCATTTTTAGAAATCATTTTTATGTGAAGCAATTTGAATTACCACTGTTTAAGAAATGTTCTATATAAATAAACTTGCCTAATTATAAAACGTATTCCTTAAAGGGATACTCCACCCAAAAATGAAAATTCTGTCATCATTTCCTCACCCTCAAGTTGTTGCAAACCTGTATGAGTTTCTTTCTTCTGATGAACACAAAGGAAGATATTTTGAAGAACGATTGGAACTTTGGCACCATTGACTTCCATAGTATTTTTTTTTTTTTCTACTATGGAAGTCAATGGTGCCAAACAACTGTTCATTTTTGGGTGGAGTATCCCTTTAAATGCATTGAAAATCTGGAAAATCCATTTGAATGTGTGATGGATAAATGCAAATATATATGTACGTGTAACACAATCGGCACAAGTTTGTGTCTGACTCATAGCCTTTCCTGATACCAATCCACCCTCTTTTTCCCATAATTTCAATTTCTGGCCCATCTATAAAATTGGCATCAATGTTTAAAAAAAGAAGAAAAGAAAGTCAGCATGAATCTGTCACAACCCATTTTACTTACACAATCTGATGTATTTAAAGTAAAACAGGATATTCAACAAGAAAAATGTTGCGAGAATTGAAAATTAGAAGGCTTGAGGTCGGCCAGGACTTTCAGGGGTGTAGAAAGTTATTACATTAAGGTCTAAGATTGAGGTCTCTGACAATGCAAAACCAAAATCAGTGCAAAAATTATGAACTTTTTTTTTTTTTTCACAGATGTGATGATGAATCTCCATATGCAGCGTGTGCTGAAGGGACACTGGCAGAATCGTCCTCTGGAGAAGATCAAGCCCATCAAGAAGATCTCGCTCAAGCACAAGTTGTGTTTGGGTAGCCGCATCTCAGACCCTTCCTCCAAAGACAAGCACAGGCTCGCCAACTCTCTGCTCTCCTCCACAGTCCGTAAGTGTGAAGAAAATAAAAGACACTGAAATATCTTATTTATTAGCCTTAAAGGGCATTTTCTGCACTTTCATGGACATGAAAATACAAAGGATATATAGGAAATGCAGGTGGCTGCACATGAACAAGGCTCTAGGCGCCTAGGCCACTGCTCTGACGGTCTACTAAATTATGAGAGAAAATTCCCTGCATCCTCAGTGTCTGAAATGTCAAGAGCCGAGTTTTCTCCAATGGAGGCAAATTCTTACACCTTTAGGAGAGTCTAAATTTGGTCTAAATGTGACCGCCCCTATGGGCAGTTAAAGTGACCTGTGAGTGTCTGGTCATCATTAGCTGCTCTCTGCAGTGACTTAGCAGTTATGTCTGGCATCATACAAGTCCAGCCACGGTTGCTTACACACACACACCCCATGTTATGGGTATGAATTATTGAAGATTTAGTGATCTGTAGCGTATAGTTGAATGAGTCACATGTTATATAAAGAAATTACTATTAATGGTTATTGTGTATTATTTAATGCAATTTATTGTTTGAGATTTTGACATGACAATTAATTATTTACATTAGTTACGTAAAATAAAGATGACTAGGGGTGTAACGGTTCACAAAATTCACGGTTCGATACGATACACTTGTCACTAGGGTTGGGTACCGAAACTTGGTGCCAATAGGGGAACGGGTTCCGACGTAAACGGTAGTAACCAGACCGAATAAGAACGACAATTTCGGTGCCTGACTTAATTAGGCACACACACACGCACAGTCTCTTCTGTCTCGCAAGCGCGCTCTTGCTCGCAAGGTTTGGCTGCATTTCACGTGTAAAATTACGCGTCAGAACGCCCTCTGGGTGTGCCGATAGTCTGAATCCCATATAGAATCAAGCCAATACATTGGCTAATGGCGCGGGCGCCGCCTCGACGCACTTACGTCGTCATATGTTGGCGCGCGCGCGCCATCTGCTCCTCAGATTTCTCTGCCGAAAAAGGAAGCTGGTTGGCAGCGCGAGGAGCTTGGCAGCGTCTCGTTCCCTATTGAGAGAACATAGGTTACACCAGTAACCAGAGATGTTCTCTTTCATAGGTTCACTCAACGCTGCGTAGCTAAGAAGCAGTGGATTTGTAGGCTGCTGTATCACGTGCCGTTTGAACTGACGCCCTACAGCGATCTGTCACATTTCAAAGAGCCAAAACGTTATTTATTGTGTGAATCTCGTAAAAATATTGACAGAATCTGACAGCTGTGGATTTGTTCCATATCAAAAGTAACCTTCTCTGTTTTGTCTGTCGGTGTCCTCTTTGTCCCCGATTTTTCTCTGCGTGAGAAAATGGATGTGTGGCGTGAGCGTGTGAAAAGGGTCAATTGCGTGAGTCTCACGGTCAATGCGTGAGAGTTGGCAGCTCTGCTAGTAATCTCTATTAATCTCCAGTATTATTACATTGTTTGATACAATATTGTTTTATTTGATATTATGTAAATGTGTAAAATGTAATGTAAAAATTTGTATTTTATATTGGTTTTATTATTACCATATGTTACTTGTATTTATATTGTTTAAAGATTTAAGTTAATATTGTGTCCAGTTTGGCCCTGTAAATAAAAGGGTATTATTTTTTGATAAAGTGTGTGCGGTTTCGTTTTTTTAAGTACCGTTTCAAGAACCGTTTAAGCACCGGAACAGTTTAAAAAATACCGAGTAGGTACTGGTATCGGATAAAACCCAACCGATACCCAACCCTACTTGTCACGGTTCGGTACGTTTTCGATACAGCAAAAAGAAAGAAATGCCAGAGAAATTTCCCTGATTTAATTTTTTTAATTATATGTTTTATTAAAACTAACATCATAAAGTATGATATTTTTTTACTTTGAGCAATGATGGGGCTATACTTGACTTTTTTCTTAGGAGCATACAAAAAAACAAAACAGCTCATTGGACAAAATTAAATGTAATATTGTAGTAGTTATAAAACACAGGTTTATTTTAGTTCAGATTAACATTTGAGGGCAGTAATTGTATTCATAATGTCAAAATAAAACCGACGTAATGTTACTTGAAAGCATTATAGCCTATGATTCCTGTCAAACTTCCATGGTTACAGTTAGTAGTGTTACTACAGTAAATCCATGGTGAATGTTGCTGATCTGTGGACACGGATTAGTTCATTCATGGCACAATGTTTTTTCCTGGTTTCCATGTCAGCGCTGTTTGATCCGTTAATAACGGAGAAATGTGAATGTTTCTCACTAGATCTCGCAGCGATATTATTACTTCAGTGGCGAATTCAATTTTTTTCTTTACTGGATTTCGGTGTGTAGTAACAGTGCTGCTTGATTAAGATCGGCTCGCGCTGCATTGGTCCAAACTGATAAACGGTCCGTCAACCACACAATACCGAGTAGCTCAGTTTTGTTCCGCTTACATTACATTTGCCATTTGATGTTGGGCAATGTTGTGGCCACACCAGCATCTCTTACATTATGAGCGCACTTGCCACGCGCGACTCGCCTACATTTGAAATAACGAAATTTTGGTCGGCAGGAAAAATGGTCCAACGAACCGTTCGGTTTAAAAATGCATACCGAAAACCGAACCGAAAGCCTCGTACCGAATGGTTCAATACGAATACGTGTATCGGTACACCCCTAAAGATGACATATACTGACAAAGAAAGGATAACATTAAAGATTAGAAATAAGAGATAAAAAAAAATAAGTTAACAGTACAGATTAAATGAGAAGTTAAAAGTAGAAAAAGCAAATCAACAACAAAAAAGATATAAGCAAAGACAAAATATGCAGAGTAACTGAAAAGGGAATGTTAAACAGATAACCGTATAATGGGGTGGGAAATAAATATGTAAATAATAGTGCTGAACAAAAACAGTGTATCTCATACATAAATTATGTAAAATAACCCGAAAATACAGATAAAGATTAAAAAGTTATAAAAACAAATGTAATGTGTATATATGTATGTATGTGTGTGTATATATATATATATATATATATATATATATATATATATATATAAATGAGAATTATAAAAAAAATATTAATTTGACAAGTAATAAAATGTACCCCTTATTTCATTCTCTTCCTTTCATACTTGACTGTATTTTTCTCTAATTTTCTCTTCCTGTTTGCTTTCTCTCAGGTTTGTCGCATCATAAGGTCCGCTCAGAGAAGGTGTCCCGGCAGCAGTTAGACATCCCGATGAGTGCCAGTAAACTTGACTCTCGCCAGCATTTCCGGCAGAGCAGTTCTTTTGACAGGAGCCACAGCCGCAAGAGACCTCGTGAGCCCTCGCTGGACCGCACAGAAAGTACGTTCTTCATTACATTTTCCCTCTCATTCATTTTATTTTATTCATGGCAGTCTTGTTTGCTTTCGTCTCTCTCTTAATCAACATTGAGTTCAGTCCTTTAACACACTTTGATTTTCTATAGATGCTAATAAGTTATATATGGATATGGGGAGTCCATGCCCATCTCTGTCCGCTTTCAACACACCCACCAACAGCCCCTTGATGAGACAGCCATCGATCTCCGAGACCTCCACACCCCTCCACCTCAACAGCAGCGCCTCTGTAAGATGCTCTTGAAAGCTTTCCATCTCTGATTGTATGAACACATGAGAACCAAGTTACTTATGCCTGTGTGTGACTCTTACAGACTATTCGAAGACGGAGAGGAGAGAGCCCTTTTGACATCAATAACATCGTCATCCCCATGTCTGTGGCCGCCACCACCCGAGTGGAGAAACTACAGTATAAAGAGATCCTTACCCCAAGGTCAGAGACACAAACTGAGTTTCCAGACCTGTTTATTAGCCACATGAATCTTCAAAGATTTAATTGCTGATTATTTTACCTTTTGCTTTTTAATTGTAGTTGGCGAGAAGTGGACGTTTTTGCAAAACCAATAGCTGAAGAGGACGATGCAATGGAGGTACGGCCTTGCTGTTGGTCACCCAGCAGTTATTTTAGGCTGTCAAGACTGTAAGCCGCCTACCTAGAAGTTTAGTGTATTATAGGTTTGTTTCACTAAGTATGCAGGGTTCGAATGTGACGATAATGCCTCAGAATGCTTTCTTGACAGGCAGCTCAATAGGTTTTGAACTAAAATGGTTGCAATGTAACAACAAATGTGCAACACTAATTTAAAATCTAGACAGTCAGGAAAAATTGTGTGTCCATATGCAGTTTCGACATATATATTTTTTTAACTAAAGTAATAGAGAACCGAATAATGTTGTTAAGGAAATGAAGTACTTAGGTCTTCTATTTGACAACAAAAAAACTTTCATTCCTCATTTGAACTCACTAAAAACCAAGTGTCTTAAAGCTATGAATATTAGGGGTGGGAATCTCTAGGCACCTCACGATTCGATTCGATTACGATTCAGAGGGCTCCGATTCGATGCTAAAGCGATTATCTGAATCTTTTTTTGTGTGTGTGAGACTATAAATACTTTGCTTTAAAAGTAAAAAGTAATGACCCATAAAGAATTACCGTACAATATATTTTATTAACATTGCAAAGAACCAACAGGAAAATAAATGTGTGCCTGAACTAGCAGCATACTTGTAGTAAATTAATAATATATCAACGACCGGTAGCCTACAGCCGAGTGTTTTTCTTCCTCTGGGTGGAAACGTGTCATATGGCTTCATCATGTTTCCGAAATATTTCAGTTTTATTCTACAAAGCTTACAAATAGTGTGGCTCTTGTCCAGCTCCTTTCCCCCTTCAACTTCATAGAAGCCAAAATATTTCCACACGTCAGCTTTTAACGCGGAGGGTGTTTGGATTTCGCACTCAGCCATCGCGTCTCTGTTATGTGCACGCCACAGACGGTCCGGCCACTGCACTTCCGCACTTCAGAGCTCCGTCTTTTGCGCTCTGTCAGTATTACGTTATTATAAATATAAATTTAATTTTTTTTTTGAAAATCGATTTTTGACATTTGTGAATCGATTCAGAATCGTCCGCATTGCGATGCATCTAAGAATCGATTTTTTCCCCCCACCCCTAATGAATATAGTGAAAGTATTGGCAAAAACAAAATGGGGAGCAGATCACATTGTTCTTTTGAGACTCTACAGAACATTAATCTGTTCCCGTCTGGACTATGGAAGCATAATATATGACTCCGAGTCAAGCATCTGCTTAAATGATTTTCTGGCAGTGCATCATCAGGGCTTACGACTTGCCTTGGGAGCATTTAGAACTTCGCCAGTGCAAAGTTTGTATATTGAAGCCAATGAACCTTCACTTCAAAATAGAAGATTAAAGCTCTCACTCGAATATGCTGTTAAGATAAAGGCAAATAAAACCAATCCAGCCTATTCTACGGTCTTCAACCCACAATTTACTCACTTGTATGAGAGCAAACCTAAAAGCATCAGATCCTTCGGTATTCGTATTAAACCACATTTGGAGAACTTAAATATAAATTTGAACATTTTAAACCAAATACAATTTAGTTCTATATCTCCCTGGAAGTTAAAGAAGCCTAATATCAATTTGGATTTGGCTCATCAGAGGAAAGGAGTGACTCATCCAAATGTATATAGACAGCAATATTTGGACATAAGAAACCAATTCCCTTTTCACGTACCTATATTCACAGATGGTTCGAATGTAGAAACCATTCCAAATATTCCAAAACAGTGCTCAAATTTCTCTGCTGAAGCACGTGCTTTACTTTTTCGCTTTGGAACATATTGAAAATACACAACAAAAGGATTCTATAATTTTTACAGACTCTAAATCTTGCCTAAAAGGAATGGACACTTTAAAAATTGATCATCCTTTGCTGGACTGTATCTTAACCAAAGTGGATTATCTACTAAATCAGTTCTTCAGTATTATCTTTTGCTGGGTCCCAGGCCGTGTTGGACTTTCAGGAAATGAACGAGCTGATGCAGCTGCTAAGGAAGCTCTTAATCAGGAAGTTAATGATATTAGATATTATCTAATATCCTTCAGATATTAGACCGATTATTAATCGATACATATTAAATAAGTGTCAAGAAGAGTGGAATATGTGCAAGAATAATAAGCTATATGAAATTCATCCGGAAATTACAAACAGACTTTTTATCACTCTTAAAACTAGACTTGATCAAGTGCTCTTCTCCAGATGTCGTATAGGTCATACAAGTTTGACCCATGCTTTTTTGCTTAAAGGTGAAGACACAACTATATGCATGTTTTGTAAGATTCCCCTAACAGTTAAACATATTTTATTAGATTGCCCTGGACTTAATACAAGTAGAATGCTTTTTTTTATGAAGTTACCTCACTTAAGGACTTATTTAGTAAGATTATGCCTGAAAAGGTTTTTTATCACAAGTTAATTTAAAGGTGCCCTAGAATGTGTTGAAATAATATTTAAATTTTGCCTCTGATATCTACATAGAGGGTATTTGGCTTATTTAAGGCCATTTAAAATATGGCATTTAATATATGTCCAGATATGGTTTTACAGGTCCATTTTCAACTCTAGAAATTGGCCCTAGAATGAAATGGTCTGTTTTTACCTTATTTGGAAGGGTCATGAATAGTAATGAGTTGTTCTGCTCTGATTGGCTGTTTCACTGCAGGCTCAGTGAAACAAATGGACTAACGTTAGATGCCTTGTCAAATAAATATCGCTTCAACTTATGTGGTGGAGAATGTGACGTTAGCTAGAAGGATCGAGTGAGCTAACACTATCTGTGAGCAACTAAACTAATGTAGTTAGCCCCTGACGTGTTGTTGATGAAATAGACGAAGGTAAAATTATTTGACAAAAGCGAATTTACATATGTATCTACAGTATTGTTTTGTAGATTTATATGACAACACAGGCAAGAAATATTAACCTCAGCGTAAATACTTTGTCATACTATTTAGTTATGTATGTTCGTTACTTGGAGTTTGCTATTTGTTACTGTACTAGGATCTTGCGCTGGATCTAGATAACACAGTGTAAATTATCGTTAATAAAATCACTACTTCTCGCTTGCGGGAATATAGTTGGAATTGCCCCCTTCTTCAGTATGAGACGCTGAGAGAAGTCTGCTTGATATTGTCCCAGGTTAGAAAATAAGTCCGTGGTGTCTTTTCTGTGGGAAGGGTATGAAAAGTCCTCACATCCCCTGCACATCCTGGAACATAACATTTGTTTCCATGATCTGCCATTTTCCCTATGATCCTTGCTTGTTTCTTCACCTGCAGAACTTCCGATGATTCGGCTGCGCAGTTTCGCCTGGCATTGAACAAGGGCTGGCATATGCACATTTTTGGAGGCGTACATACTAATGATCCCGACTGTTGCGTCATAGTCGGTGTTATGTGGAGATTCGCCTATTTTTCAGGGGTGTTTTTCAAAAACGAAATTTAAATGAGGAGGAGAAAACAATGGTGTTTGAGACTCACTGTATGTCATGTCCATGTACTGAACTCTTGTTATTTAACTATGCCAAGATAAATTCAATTTCAAATTCTTGGGCACCTTTAAAAAATCTTATATCATATGACTTGCTGTTTTTGTTTGTTTGGTTTTTATTTTATGATATTTGTAGTTTTGGAATTCATTTTTTGCCATGAAAATAGCCTTGGATGCTGACATGGCACTAAATAAAACAATCTGAATCTAACTAAAGTACGTGTGTGTTGTGACCGGAAGGGGAAACTGCCACACAATGTCTGATTACTGATTAAAAAATAACTCATTCGTTCCGAGTCAGACCTGAGCAAAATTCAGATTCAAAATGTTTTGTTGTAATACATTTTTTAATGGTAAAATAAACATTTAAATATTTGCATTCAATGAACTGAAGTGCTTCTGAACAACCTTCTTTATTAAGCAAATCAAAATTTGTCATTTAGCTCATAAAATGTTTCATTTGAGGACCACCTTTAATTTTTTTATAGCCTGAAGCCCTAAATACTATGTTGCCTGGTGTATGTATTCAATAATCTTCTCTCATTCTCTCAGGTTGAGGATCTCTCTGACGTAACATTCTCTGAGCTTCATCTTCCGTATCAGGATCAGGAGCGCTCTCGCTGGAGTTGGACCGCCAGCAACGTCGCAATGAGAAGAGGCAGCAGGTGAGGGAACACCACTTGCACTGCTTTGCTCAGCCCTTTTAAGGGATAAGTGCGATTTTTCTCCTGGTTAACAACTTTGCCGCTGTCTACATGTGGCTGATCGTTGAGTTTTGCACTTCATGATGGCAGATGAGGTGCAAAAAAGAGAACCGACAGTTTTAAATGCGAGAGATAATAAATGCAGTGAATTATGACACCAGGCTGTTCACTTACATCAACATGTTATAATGAGAAGTCATTGAAGCAATAAGCATTACACTGATTTCACCACTGCCGCACTGTTAGTTACATGATAATCAGCGCCAGTCTTTTTCTCCACAGGTCGTACAAGTCTGTGGACGGACGGACAACCCCCTTGCTGTGCGGCACCAACCCCTCCACGCCGCAGCCCTCATCTCCAGACACGGCGCCTTTCCACCTGCTGCACGAGTACAGCTCAGTGGCGTCTCCCTCCAGCCCCGTCAGCCCGGAGATGCTGATGCTGTCCGGCCTGTACACGCCTGGCTCCAGAGACTCCCACCGGATGCTGTCCAATGAGGACACGCGCTGCTCCACCCCAGATACCTGCGAGGAAATGGTAGGCCCCCATGGTTATTAAAATAATCAGTTATTAAATATGTAAATTTAGTTTTATTTAATAAAAAAAAAAAAACGAATGTACATCGACACTATACCACCTCAGTATTAAATTAAAAATAAAAATAGTTATCATGGCTACATGAATGTTTCTGATTCAATGGCTAATGCTAAATTTTAACAATCTCGCAATGTTTTTTTAAAGTTATAGAAATTTTATTGTTTGTTTGTTTTTTTCAAATATGAATGCAAAAAATATATATTTGTCATAGTTTCCATTCACCACTATTGAGGTTTACCCAACTATGACAACTTACACTTCTGAGAACCCCTGAAATGTGAAAAGGGTCCATTGTTGAATTTGGCTAGTGCTCCAATATAACCTAGAGGCTTTATTGTACGTTCAATTTCACACATGCTCAGTTGTACACCACTGTAAGTCAGTTACAAAAAAAGGTCCCTTTTTTTTTTTTTTTACCTTTTTGTGCAGTTGTCTTCAATTGTGTGCGCGGATTTTTACTTAGTCTGTCTCTGTTTGTCCCTACGGGCTCCCCAACCGGTACAGCCATGGGAACTCCGGACCTTTCCGCTGGACGTGGACCCGCAACAGGAGTGCGAAATCCACCTCAGTCCGGCTGGCGAGAGGCCCTGTAGGACTGTTCGACGTGTGTCCGGCAGCAGGACTTCCAAGTCGGAGTCCGACGCAGGGCCTTCGTCACCTCTGGGCGACGACTGCGCCAAGCAGCAACAAACCAACCCACCCAAACCTACTCACCGATGAAGCCTAGACTCTGCCCACCCACCAGCTTTCAGGAACTCCTGAAACAGCAGCAACGTAGACGGAAAGAAAACCAACAAAACGAATGAAAGTCCCTGTTGTTTGATATTCAAACATCAGTAAATTCTTTCACAGTTTTTAGTGAATTGTATGGCGATATATATATATATATAGACCTGTTTTAATTCAGTCTTTCTTTTGGGTCACTGGAGGACAAAAATGTTTAGGAAGATAAATACAATTAAAAGAAAAAGAGATTAGCTTAAGTGCTAAACCAAAATAAGCAGCTCCGAAACGTATCGTATATCGCAGAAGAGCACTTCCCCCTTAGCATGCTGTCGTACTGAGGGGCTCAGCTTGCGTTGTGTGTGGTTCTCTTCCAGAAGTTTTCCAAAATCCCACCTAAAATTACTTGTTCGGCCTTGCAGTTTATACTGGAGTGATAAAACGCAAAAATAAAGCCAATAATAATGATTGCAAGGCGCCAATGCTTGTCTATGTTCTCTCTGTGAAAGCACTTCATTTTAAAATCTTTCCACGTTCCCTTTTTTATTTTGAACAGACTTTTTCATATTTAATTCCTGGGAATTGCACAAATCCCAATTTCTGGTTTCATTTTTGTCCCGTGTTCTCTTGTATACCATGGTCCGTATGTGCCCCATTTCTGTCAAAGGGACGGAGATAGCAGGTGCCTTCATCGCAGCCAGGAAATGAAACTGCCATGTTGCTCTCATGCGCTTTTTAAACACCACCAAGTCTGATTAGAGCACTTAATTGGTCTCTCTTGCATGACACTATTTCCAGGAACCCTACAATCAGCACCCAAATAAACGTGCGCAGCCCGCTGATATTGGAGACTCGATTGCACTCGCTGCTTTCAGCATCGGGGAATGGCCCTTCTCGTGTGGGCTTGCGTTAGTGTGAGTTTTAAAGCACTTGGCGGTACTATGCATGACCAGGTTAGTCCAAAGAACATGGAGTCACTCCAATATAAACTGAAATTTCCTGCCTTGTTTCCCTTTTAACATGGTTCCTCCTTTTATGTCCCAACCCCGTGGAAAAGAGCTCTTCCATTGATTGGTCAGGTCTGAACTCTGTCTTCGTTTCATACAACAATCTGCAATACTTAAGCCATCATCAAATCCCGTAACTTTGATTTATGATGAGTTATAGCATTAGCTGGAGTACTTGACAAGAGAGGATTTGGCAAAATTTCATTCGTTGGCTCCTCGGTTGTTGTCGGTCACAGCCCCGTTGTTTTTGTTTTTTTCATTGTGTAACGAGGAACGATTTCTGTTAGTTCCCCGTCAGCGAGTCACTGCTTGCAGCTCCTTCCTGTTATTTTAACTAATACGAATGTAATAAAGTCTAATAGCGGACACCAGTTACTTACAAATTTTATAAGTAGCTTCTATGTATCTGTTGTCACACGAATCTAGCTATTGTAGCCATTTGTTCTTGTTTAAGGGATGTCATGTAAACCAGAAATCCTTAATATATTCCTTTATCTCACTGGAGCATAACAGCATTCATAGTGTCAGAGAAATCTCTTCTTTTGAGGTTGTGTGGCAAATTGTAAGGGGACCATCAACGACTGTCCCATTTCCTGCTGAGAAACCCGCCGCCCCTTTCATTCTTAATATCATTAATTATGGTTTAATGTCTCTCTCTGTGGGGGTCTGTGTACTTATCAGGCAAATGTACCATAAGATTTGACTAGCTTTCAAAAGCCAATATTGTATCGTGTGAGTTATTTTCATACTTTGAATTTCCAATGTGGTGAATGAGGGTTGGGTGAGTCTGGTATTATATCCTTTAGCATGTAATAGTTTGTACAAAACAACAACAACAAAAAAAGTTTATTTTGTACATACCTTGTTTGATTCTTTACTGTGTTTGATGTTCAGGCTGTAGCTGTCCTGATTGTCTAGGGAGAAGACACATGATGAGAATATTTAACACTTTCTTTATGCAGAGGCAACAAGAAAAAAAAGAAGTTTATGGATAATTGGCCGATCGGACAGACAGGCAACGTTTGTGCTTCTCAAATTAAAAGTGAATTATATTGTACTCAAATGTCTTCTGTCTTTCTGTTGTACTAGTGAAATGTTTTCATCAGGGTAATAAGAAGCAAGATTATTCATTACAGGAATCTGCTTGGATCGCTAAGGATTTGGATGGGACTTTCCATTATTTTTTAACGTATTTATATAACGTTCAACTTAGAAACCCAGGTCTCGTTACAATTTTTTTTTTTTTTTTTTTTTTTTTTTTTTTTTTTTTCAAGGACAATGGAGAAAGTTAGGTTACTCATATGTGCACTGGACTTTATTATGTAGTCCACAGGTTGCTGGATAAAGGGCCACTCAAGTAAAACTATCAGAAACTGTTGAGAAGGAAGCTAAAGACCACTAATAAACGGGATAAAAGATTTTTTTATTTTTTATTACCGCAGAATGTCAATGCACTTTAGCTTAACTGTTTAGCATGATTTAATCTGTTTAAATGATTTCAGATATTATTGGTGATTTTACTTTTATGGAACAATTTTGGCAAAATTGATCTTTGCCACGTTCAAATAGGTAGGTGAGCTGTACTTTCATCATGACTTCATGGACATTGCTGGGCCTAGTGAACCGACTTTGAAGGTGCTCAATTGGAAAGGTACATCTAATTCGTCATTATACTGACTCCTAGTGGCAATAATGCAGTCTCAAGCAAAATCATTAGTATTTGGTTATCAATTGCTTTCGAATGTATTCTATTCGTCATGAATGTGCTCCTCTCTGAGCTAATCGTCTAGTCACGTGAGGCTCAATGATGTTAACCCCTTCGGATCATGCGTCCATTGGAATGGACCACGTGTTTTGTTTGTGCAAACCGTGGTGCAGGGATGACGTCTGAGCTCTCGAGATTTTTCTATAGTGTTTTTTCCAATTTATTAGTAAAATAAAGCCTGTGGTGAACAAATTACACACACCCATACTGAAAATTAGAAATACATTTTCAAAGTAATTAGATGAGAGTAAAGTCATTTCAACTCAATTATATTAAACTATCTTTTGAAAAAATTAGTTGGATCTTGTGTAACTTAAAAAAGTTGAAAACATATTTTGAGTTAAAGCAATGAAAAAACAATGTCATAACTTATTGATCATATATTTTTTACAGGGTGTGTGTATATATATACATGGATGTATTTATATTCATTTCTACAGTGAAGAGCAATCAAGTAGGTATTTTTTAAAAATCAGGTCTAAAAATGCTATTTTTATCTTTTCCCGCCAGCATTTTTGATGTTTCACAAAAATGCAATGGCCCCTAGTATATTTTGTTGTATGAATATCTAAACATGCAATATATTAAAAAGAAGAACCGTTTTATTCTAGCTTCATGTATGAATGTGGGTAAGTTGTTTCATTAAAACAAAGAGCTAAAAAAAATCACGTTTTTTCAAAAGACTACAGCGTGCATAACCAATGCTTTTATCGCCTGTTTCTGCTCTTTTTCCCTGTTTTGATCATGGTTTTGATCCATAAACTGTGTACTCTTCCAGAAGATCCGTATTAGCGCCCCCTACAGTATAACAGTAAAAACACGGAAAGCCGGAAAAGTCTGTGGCAGGGAGGCAAGAGTTATAGGCTATGTTAATCTTTTTAATGAAGTAAAATGACATTTCCTCCAGATAAACCCGCCAACCCTTTAATTCCTAATATAATTATTATATATCTCTCTGTGGGGGTCTGTGTACTTCAGGCAAGTGTACAATAGTTTGACCAGCTTTCAAAAGCCAGTATTGTATCGTGCGAGCTAGCAAGACAAAAAAGAAAAATGACTCTATACCTTTAAACATAGCTATCTATTGTTCATAGCGCCACGTCCATTCAACAATTTTGAGGAAAAAAGTAATACAACCTTACTTAAAAAAGAACGAAAGGGCACATAAAGCAGTTTAATACGGACCTTTATTTCCAAATTCACGTTTACAGCAAGGAGTATCAGTGTAAACCAATTAATAAAACACATTACGATAAGGAAGATCACAACTGTCAAGCTAGAATGAAGAATGAGATAAGAGCAGAGGCGGGAAATGAAACGGAGGAGAGAGAGAGACCTCAGAACTGGTTAACAGATTACAGAACCGTTTGAAACACATCTAAAGGTTAGAATTACCAAGAAGGCCTTATCCTGTGCCATTTTTAAACATTTCATCTGATAAGTCTGTTCTTCAGCTTAACCCACACGTATAAATGCTCAGGTTTATGTTAGCAGCATGCTGTAAAGAGGATGCAGTGTTGGGTTTACAGCAAACCGTCTAAAGCTTCTCACAGGGTCATGTGGCACTAGGCAAGACTTTTACTTCTATTGTGGATTCTGAATGCAAATTGTACCCCTATTTGTATTTTTTTTTTAAATGCAAGATATACATCTTAATGAGTAATGTAGTTTGAGGCAGCTCAATATGTCTTGTCAAATCAGTGCATTCACTTTCAAATGAGCATAAAGCTGCAATTCACTGCAGATATTAAATAAAAAGCTTAGTGACAGATCATCTGAACACATTCGTACATTTTACATCGTCCACACAATACTATTAGAAAAAAAAGAGTGCAACATAAACCTGGATTTTAGCAGGTAGCTTTGTTCCTTTCATCTTCCTCCAGTTTTTTTTTCTTCTTTTCATGTTTTAAGACTAGTTAAACGCTCTTAAAGTCTAGTTAAGGTAGTTATCTTAACAGCTGGACAGGGATGTGGTGACTGTGGCTACTATATTCAAGACCATGGATGAAGTCTATTGCATGCTGGGAATGTGCAGCGTGTGAGCATTGTGGTTTGTTTTGAAGGCTTTAATACTGAGGGAAGCTTGGCTATGTTTTAAATGTCCTGCATCGTATTTCAGACCAAATGAATCAGCTCTGTGCTGCTGTACATGACTGAATCTGTCTTAAACCAAAGAGAATCTTTAAAGCATAGCCAGTTTTCTGAAATGTAGCTGATGGACACTGGGGAGGCACTGTCAGCTGTCTGTTCTCAATGCCAGATTTTCTGGAATGAATGTTGTCAGATATTTTGAGTGATTTGAAATCCTCTTGGTCCATTCACACATTCTTTGGAACAGCATTTTATACACAGAAGCTGAAATCCATCAATACAAGAGGATCGTTACCATACAGGGAGGATTAGGTCATGAAAAACCGAGTGATTCCAGTTAGATGGTGCTTGTGCAGGGCAAAACTACTTCAGAGCTCAACTGTAAGGATGACATGGGTGTCTGTGGTTGTCACATCTTATATTTAGTGTCATATCTTTTTTTTTCATCAGTCATTTTTTTGCCTTTGTAAGACAAATTGTAAGAATAATGCAATAGTAGAGAGATTCGCATTATAATACCATTGTTTTCCAACAAAATCTGCATGTAAATCATCAATTATTTGCATTAAATAGTTTTTAAAAAAAAGATCTCAAATTATCCTTATTGTTGAGCCCTGTACAACAGCTTTAGTTCAACGTTTTGTATGATTCTGTATGTTGACATTTGCTTTCTTTTCTGTCAAAAGAGTCACTAGAGGCCAAGCAAGACGATTTCCTTCAGCGATGCAACTTCCTGTGCATTCATCATCAGGACAGATAGGCCTGGAAAATATGCTGTGGTGAAGTATAGATGTAGTTTTGAAGAATAAGTAAAGTCTGGTACCAACATTTCCAATTCATGATATAAGACTGATCTGAATAATTATGTCTTATTTTTGCTTTTATAAAATGAATTTAACCGCTTTGAATGACTGTAACATGCACTATTAGTGGCCTCTGACCAATTTTATTTAAACAATTAAATAGCGGGCCTCAATTGTTCTTAAATTTGTGTCCTTTACAGCCAGATTGCCTCAAGTTTTACCTAAGAGCGTTTGAAATGTTCGCTTCCTGTCAAATTCATGGCCATTATCATTAACCGCACCCTCCAAACCATGTAGCATGTTTGCCTTCCTTACTGCTGCATGTCAAAACAGGAGTGCATAAGTTATGGTAAAGAAAAACATTCACAATAAGGCAACGAAGCAAATACAACTGTGAAAGTAAATGTCATTGTTGTTTCTTTCAAAAAACGGGGCATTAAAGGAAACAAATCAGGCTACTCAGTGCTGTAAATGACCATTTGGATCAATACACCACCAGCTTCTTTTAAATTGTATTTTTTTTTCTTTTGATGACACTAAGCCAATAACATTAATACCCGTCCCTCTGTGCCAAGAGGCAAAAATGATTTCACAAGCAGACAAGCCGCTGGGACAACCTTTAGTTAGGAGAAATCCGACAAGCACCTTATTTGAAAGGACTGAAGGAGGTACATTTTTAAAATGAGTTGATTTGTCAGTCGCCGCTCACAGGCCTTGTTTAGCGAGGGAGGCCGACACCTGATCAGCTAGCGTGGACAGTTGTGGGGAGTCGGTCATGTTGATGCTGCCGGAGGAAGACACATTGCTGAGGCGGCGGGGCGATCCGTCCGCGGAAATGTTGGGGGACTGATACACGATCTCAGCGCCGTGGTCGGTGCGCGCTTTGGCTTGCTCTCGGAAATTTAGCTTGTGGCTCTCAATCTGATGGGAGGAAGGGTAGAATTTGGATTAAGTAGGATGGATATGAACAATTAACAGTTTTTTTTTAAAGATAATGCATACATAAAATAAAGCTAAAGGCGATGTGTATTGTTTGGGGTCGGTATAAATATTTGAATACATTTATTTGATCAAAAATACAGTAAACACATTACAATTTAAGATAAGTGTTTTCTATTTTATTCATTTTAAAATGTAATTTATTCCTGTGATGGCAAAGCTGTCATTACTCCTGTCGTCAGAGTCATATGATCTGGTGATTACGTGCTTAAAATACATTTATTATTATTATAATCAATGTCAGGATTCTTTGATCTTTAAAAAAAAGAGCATTTAGGTGAAATAGAAATCTTTTGTAACATGACAAATATAGTTGTCACAACTCTTAATGAAAGGTAGTGTGTCTGTTAATTCATTTGCAGAGACCGCTGAAACGATTGTACGATTATTATATTTAATATAAACCTGCAGCACTAGTCTTCTTATAGGGATTTGTATATGCCTTTTGCATCCATAACATGAGAGGGTATCAGAAATATGGTGATTAAAAAGTAAATGCACAATTGAACTGAAATAATACAGTGCTCAAGAAATTAAAACTGGCACAGAAGGACATAAAAACCATGTAATGCTGACATGTCAGTTAAATTGACACTTCATAATTCTAGTAATATACTTACTGAGGCTCTCTGACTTAAACCAGACTGTTCCCTTCAGTGGAGGGAAGGTCAAAGGTCATGTCCACATCATTAGAGTGAACAGCGTCCCCATTAGAGGACGCTTTTGCGGCCTGCGGCTCTGCTTCCTTCCCCTTCTCACTCTACAGTTCACAGAGTTATGGGTAAACAAAACAAATTATTGAGGGGTTGGGATGCAAATTATGAAATGAGGTTATGAAGGCATAAAAAACACTCACACTAAAAAAACAGGGAATGCCGGGAGAAGGGATGAAGCTGTCTTAATATTTATTATTATTACTTAAATATTTCCAAATAAGAGTGCTGATCTGTCTTCCGTACAGTATATGACACTGTTACATTTTAGGGGATTTGGTGAATCTCTTTGAGTCATGAAAAAGTTTAATCTGAGACCAGTTCCATGATTTTATAAAGGCTTATTAACTTGGTACTTTATTTTGATGGTCCACTTTAGACATTCTACTAACTATAATGAGAGTAAGTTGACATGTACTTGCAGTTACTTATATTCAGTAGCATGTCTGTAGGAGGAGCATCACAACAAAGAGTTAGCAGATATAAAGCAGACGGTCTACTAATACTCCAATGAGAGTAAGTTGACACAGAGTTGCAAAGTTACTTAGAGTATTAGTAGACGCACTGCTTTATATCTGCCAACTCTTTATTGTGATGCTCCTCCAACAGACATATAAGTAACTTTGCAACTTATTCTTAACCTGAACCCTGACCTAACAGTGAGTCAACTAATACTCTAATGAGAGTTAGTTGACATGTAGTTGCAAAGTTACTTCTAGTTAGTGGAATGTCTAAAGTGGACCATCGAAATAAAGTGTAACCATTAACTTTTATCAGCTGGAAATAGTTCTTAGATCAGCACTCCTAAACGATTCCTGAATGTGAACATGAAAGCAGCACTCAGCCAGCAGTTTTAGGTTATGTGTGATAAAAACAGACACCGAAGCAGAAAATTACTGCATGGAAAAATAGTTAGCACTAGAAAGTGTAGTGATCTTGAAAATTACTGAAAATATGTTCAGTAGAGAGAGAAGATGAAGGAGAGCAAGATGCCCAGATGCTTTTTTTATCACCCAGTAGATCCTGTGCTGTACTTTTATTTCATTTGTTACATATATAAAATCATCTTTATTCATTGATTATGTAAATATATATGTAATTCGTTAGCACCTATATTAATGCAAGCGATACCTTTTATAGGCTTCATTTTGTGTTGTGATGACTAAATTAATTCAGATTTAAAGAGGTAAGTTTTCATAAAGCTGCAAATATTTTCAATTAAGGAGGAGTTCATCATTTCCTCAGTTATATCATATGATTTTCTCTCTTTGGAACACACAAGGAGTAATTCTGCGTGTTTGGCTGCTTTTGAAGCCCAACAGGCCCCATTCATTTTCATTAAATGGAGTAGAGCAGCCAGAACATTCGGATAAATGTCTCCTTTTGTGTTCCACAGAAGACAGAAAGTCATGCAGGTTTGGAATAACGCGAGGTAAGTAAATGATGACAGAATGTTACATTTTGGATGAAATAAACATTTAAATAGATAATGGACCATGGGATAATAAATAACAGTTGCTCTAGATTAGGTGCTTTTGCAACCTTGCATTCTGTATTTAAACAAACAGTCCAATTAAAAACAGTAGATCTAAAGGGCAACTCAAAGAAGTTGGCAAAATCTGTGCAAAAGAAGTACATTGAAGTCTGCCAAACAGGAGGAAGCATGCTGATCATAGCAAGATCTAACATGTAGTGCAGATAAAAGTCAAACTGCATCATGAAACATTGTCTTATGCATTGTAATATTTTTGTGAATTAATTCTACATCTATGTTACAAATAATTCAACACATTATTGCACATTTGTGACTCCTTTGAGACTTGTGGTGTTAATAAAATCGAGAACATACCCTTCTCTGTCCACCCCGAGGAACATGTCCAATGTTCTCCAGAGATCCAACCTTTGACTGGGCTTTGAAATCCAACTTCTCAGATTTGATCTCCACATTTCCACCTCCTAAAATACAGATAAAAGTGTAAAACATCTGTAGAAATCTTGAAAAAAAATTATTAATAATAATGCTATCAGTCAAATTGAAATTAAAAAGAAATTATATTATTTTATAGTATTCTATACAGTGATCAAAGTTATGTCGATTGGCATTGCATTATAAATATACATTATCCTTATGAAAATACCCAAGATGTCTTGAAGAACACAGATATAAACCATAATACTGTCGCATGGTGTGTAAATTCTCTGTTTAATAGGTCGAAATGTCTCTATCTGCATTTTATTCTGCTACGAAATCTTTGTCCACATTATTTTTTTTTCCGGATTGTCCTAAATTGTATTCCTCTTATGGGTCTCACTTGTGGACTTTCTGCGCGAGGGCGCCCTCCAATGTCGAGTATGATTGACACATAATTACATGTGAGAGTTTAGTGCGCCATAATGCTCACATCGTCCTATTTGGGGTAAAATTAGAAAAAAATACTGCTCTCTAAAGATATTTGAAGAAAACATACAATAATCCATACGTTTTTATCTGAATGAGCACAGTTTTGGACTAAAAGCGCAGAGGGATGTAAAACACAGAAAGGCATCAGCAGTTAACAGCTGAAATACGTTAATTTGAAATATTGTGACACCCGTAATTAACACTATAATGCTATTATTTTTTAGATATCACAGTTATCGCCAATATCGTGACACCCCTAATCCGACTGAAATCTTACCCGGTTTGTGACGAATGTTGTCCTTGGAGCCGCACTTTGCTTGGACGTTGCTTAGGTCGATCTTTTTGTGCACTATCTGAACCTGAAGAATGAGGAACAGATAAGAGTCAGTCATCAACCAGAGCAATTTAGGAGGGAATGAACCGCATGCTCAGGCACCTGAGGAGCTGATGATATGGAGTAGGAAAATAGCCATTAATCACAACAGCAGGGTTCATGGGACAGAGAAGAAACCTTGCTTCCACTGATAGGCCACCACAAAATGTGGTGATTACTATCTATCTGAATACGTCATAGAGGGCATTTACACTTGGTCTTTTCATGATCAGATGTAAAAATGTGTAAATACCTTCTCAAATAAGATTCAAGACAGAAAAAAATTCCCCTCTGTCCCAGATGCTGAGTCAGAAAAGAGATTCACTCAATGTATGCATCACTCATACAGTTACAGAGGGAAGGGAACGTAATGCAAAAACATGTTATATCTGATTGAAGACAAAATTCAGATATAACTACATTTACATCTGAAGGTAATACCAGTGCTTGTAAGGCAAGAAAACAACATTTTTGGTAAAATGATCCTGAGAGGGAAAAAAGACAAGAAAAAAGTAGCACACCCAAGGATAAAATGATTAAGTCTGGATAGTCGTTGAGTCAAAAAGAATTGCAAAAAAGTGTGAGTAGAAATGAGGGATTTGAATATGCTTTGCAAGCACTGTAATAACGCACATGCTCCGATTCAAGCAGTCAAGTCAAGATCCATATCCCTTGGAGTTTACTCTGCATACCTGACTACCTGAGACCCCTAGCAATCTTCACCATGCATGCAAACTGCAAACAATGTCTGCAATGCAGCAACACTAGTCAGCAATCCATGTGCATCACATGAAGAAACCAAGAAGAACCAAATGCATTGCCTGTGAAGGAATGCTGCAGGCCCTGCCCCCGAACTAGCTAAACCTTCATGAAACTCCGGCTTCTAAAAGCACAGCTCATAGCTAAAGCCATCAGTCTGTTCACATTGTAATGGTTTATTTTAGTAGTGACCTTTTACAGACATGATCAAAACAAGGGCTTAAGATAGGGTTAGGGATATATATATATATATATTTACATTTATGTAATGTGTATGTTCTAATTGTGAATGTCTAGGCTTGGTAGTAAATTTTAAAAAATAGTATTTTGTCTAATCTCTTAATCTAATTTATTCTAACAGTTTAAAAATAGAAACAATTAACACTGTCTTTTTGACTGTGTGAGTGTTTGGAAGATGATACTTGACTTGTTGATGGAGAGCTACTTAAAAGCTTTGACTGGGTAATGGGTATTTGTGTCAGGGTTTCATTAGTTCCAAGAGGTGAATATTGACATTGAGTGTGCAGAACTGTCTTTGAGAGATTAACAACATACTTTAAACTGTTAGAAGTGTACATAGTCAAAGCTTGAGGTGTTTAAATCGCTCATTTTTGATCATTTCAAAACAGATCAAGTAGAATATCTCGTGTAACTTAAACAGCAATGGAGCGATACCCTGAGGGAACTGTTCCAATTTACAAGATATCATTTTACAGGATATGTCATATACATTTTGTCTGTGGAGGGGCCTATTTTCAATCAGAAACACAGCTGAAATATAATGCTATATTTGTTTTTTCTTCTCTTTATCATTTTCTACTTTATTTTACAACGATATCTAGTGTTAACGGCTTCTAACTACACTATTTGTCTGAGCGAGTTCTAACCCTACCAGTTTACTCACATTACCACCTCCAGGAATATGCTTGATATTGTCTTTGGATCCACATCTAGACTGAACATTAGACAAGTCGATCTTCTTATGAACAATATCCACCTGGAAAAATCAAGTCAACCTTTATTTTTATAGCACATTTAAAAACAACAGAAGTTGACCCAAAGTGCTTTACAGATCAAGCAAGAATAAATAAACACATTTAAATACAACATCATACATTGTATCAGCTTCAAAAACCCATTTCATGATCTATTCAAAAGCCAAAGAAAACAGATATGGTTTTAAAGAAGACTTAAAAATGGCTAGCGATGAAGATGACCTCACATGGAAAGGAAGACTATTCCATAATTTCTGACCCTTCACCGAAAAGGCACGGTCACCCTTAGATTTATAACGGCAACGAGGAACCGTCAATAGCAGTTGGTCAGAAGACCTGAGTGCTCTAGTTGGAGAGTAAGGAAGTAATAGGTCACTAATATATTTGGGTGCGAGACCAAATAGTGCCTTGTAAACTAAAGTCAAAATTTTAAAATCCACCCCGAATGTCACCGGGAGCCAGTGTAGAGATACCAAAACTAGGGAAATACGATCCCTTTTTCTTAATCCTGTTAATAGCCTGGCTGCTGGATTTTGGACGCGCTGTAGACGGGATAATGCAGTTTGGGGCAGACCACTATACAATGAGTTGCAATAGTCTAACCTAGATTAAATAAATGAGTGGATCACAATTTCCAAGTCAGTATGGGAAAGGAAAAGTTTTCTTTTAGCAATTGATCTCAGATGGTAAAAACTACTCTTTACAACAGCACTGATCTGCTTATTGAAAAGTAGAGATGAGTCAAAAATCACTCCAAGGTTCCTCACATGATCTTGTACGTTCAACGATAACGGGCCTAACTGGACAGCTGGGTAAACGGGATGAGGAGGAACCTAAGATCAAGACTTCAGTTTTGTTCTCATTAAATTGTAAAAAATGATTAGCCAGCCAATGTTTGATATCTTTAAAACAATTCAAGGCATTCTCAGATGAGCAATTTTTGTCTATACTCACTGGGAAATAAAATTGAACAGTGATAAAATATGCTGTATTTCTGAAAGATAAAGCTCAGGGCAAGCATATACAATGAAAAAACCAGGGGTCCTAAAATTGTGACCCTTGAGGGATACCACATAGTAGCTGAGCCGATGTAGAAGAAAAGTTGCCTACATTTACAGAGAATGTCCTTTCTTTTAGATAGGATGAAAACCAATGGAGGGTTGTCCCCTGGTTGCCCACCATACATTCTAAACGATTTAAAAGAATATTGTGGTCGATTGTATCGAACGCGGCACTGAGATCTAATAAAACTAGGACAACAGGCGAACCTGAGTCCATGGAGAGTAGAATATCATTTGTGAACTTCAATAATGTAGATTCAGTGCTGTGCAAAGATCTGAAACCAAACTGAAATGTATCCAAAATGTTAAATCTATTTAGATAGGACAGTTTTCTTCTCTGTTGATGTTCTTTCAATTTACAACCAACTTTCCCCAACATGGATAAGCCTTATTATTGGATTTTCTGTCAAGTATCTTCCAGAATCAAAATATACATTAAACATCTCCACTCAAATATCTATGATGATTGACCTACTTCCACACACTTAAATTCCACACTAAATGTGTCCCAACCAGCTGGTTTTGTTTTACCTTCCAGACGTTTGATTTTAACGGTATGTTGTCAAACATGCAAGACAGAATTACCTTCCCGCCTCCAGGTTGGTGTTTGATGTTCTCAGTGGAGCCGATCTTGGACTTGATGTTCTTCAGGTCAGGCATAGGTGCAACAGGAGCGATCGGGGCGCGAGATCTCAATGAACCAGGTGATTTGGGAGGGGTGCGTACCACCGCTACTTTCTTCACCTGCTGTCCTGGGGTGGAGGACCGACTGGCCGGGCTGCTGCAACCACTACGGTCTGGGGTTTTAGGTGAGTCAGCTGACGGTGAAAAACAACAAGACCAAAATATTTGCTCTTCTGATTTTTTTTACTCTGTAGTTAATTAACCTAAAGGAAAAGTTTTCACCTTCCAGCTTTTCTTTGGTATGTTAATATTTAACAGCTTTCATTTAAGTTTTGTGGAATTTTATTATTTCAGCAGTGCAGATTTTTGGCAGGACCAACAGTGTTTTACAGTAAAACTTTTGATTGGCTTTTTTACCTCTTTCAATGGACCCTGGTCCTGTCCTTCGCTGCTCCATCCGTGAAGCAGCTGTATTTCACAAATCAAAGTGGCACAAATCAGTCGCATAAATGCTCTATAAATAGAGAATCATTCCATTGGGGTTTCCCAACCCATTTCTAGTAGGAAAATATTCTGTACTTCCTGAACACTAGTTAAAGGGTTAGTTCTGTGATCATATACTCTCACTTACATTGTTCCAAATATTTTGAAGAATGTTGGTAACCAGACAGTTGATGTAGCCGTTGAATTCCATAGTAGGAAAAAAAGAATACTATGGAAATGGCTACCGTCAACTGTCTGGTTACCAACATTCTTTTAAATATATATATTTTTGTGTTCAACAGAAGAAAGAAACTCATACAGGTTTGAAAAAACATAAGGGTGAGTAAATTATGACATAATTTCCCTTAAGTGGTGCATAGTGAAATGACAGGAAGGTGAGCTGACTTTTGCAGTTTCCCATGCAGTGAATACACTGAACCACATATACTTGCTTATGAATTTATAATTAGTGCACTTTTGTTTGCATACAGCAATATTGAATGTGGATTGGGCTTATGCCATGGGAGAATGCATTAAAAAAAGCTAAATTTGTTATAAATTGTGAAGACAACATTGCCTGAAAGTGCTTGGCTCACATAATAACATTTTTGTTTCCCTCTCAAACTGTCAGAAAGGGGAGTTAAATGTTGAGTCACCAAGTATCCTTACTTTTCATGGTACTAAATAAAGATTATTGTGGGGACCTTGAAAGATGCATCTAAATATCACTTACCAGGCATTTTGATGCCAACTCCTTGGGGTTTGGCCCCCACTGTCTTCGTCTTGGCATCTCCAGCCTAAATATGGACAATTAAAGCAAGAATCGGCTCCTCTTACTTTTTATATCACAATTCAAATGCAATAATACATCAAAACATGCGAGTAAAATACATTCATTAACTTCTCTTTCTGCTCTGGTAATAAGGATGTTGACGTTGTGAAAGTGTCTCAGGTGCTGTAAATTGAACCGGCTTGTGTTGTTGGACCTTAATTTTGTAAAATGTACATAAACAACCCTACTGACATAAGCTTTTTCTTGCAGAATAAAAGCTTTTGGTCGATGGTTAGGGATGGGCGGAAGTACTCACCGTGGCCCTGAACTCTCTTGCTCCTGGACTGTTGGGTGTTTTTACAGAGTTTGCGGAGCCTTGACTGCTAAAGCGACATGGTGGAGTTGAGGAGGCTGAGGGCTTTTTGCTGGGGATGCCTGAGACTGAAGACCCTCTTTGGGGGGAAGAAGTGGGTCTAGCTTTTGCATGCAGGGTTGTGGTGGGTATCTTATGTTTTTTGTTTGAGAGTGTGATGGAGATAAAAATAAAAAAGTAAAACAAGGGTAAAAAGCATTCAGTAAATTAACTTTAAAAAAATGTAAAATGCATTTAAAAATAAAACAAAAATACCAAATAAAATGATAAACTAAAATTGAAGATGATTTGGTTTTTAGAAATTTAAAGGAAATTAAGTGTAAATACAAATTAACTTATGAACCAATGACTCCTCTCAGTAGTGGTGTATTTGAACTAATCTGGCTACTAAGACTTATCTGTTTTTCCGACGAACCATAATATCACCCGTGATAACTGTACCTTTTTTTCAGGAGTTGCCCCAACTCCAGCCTTGGCTGTAAGAAAAGAAGGACCAGTAAGTGCAAGCTCATACATTTATGGTTTTAGTTGCCTGAAATCAAGACTTACATTTATCAAGATGTTGATCAACTTGATTCAAAGAAGGAAAGTTGTTGTTGATGTGTTTTTATATCAGTACTCAATGTGATATATCAGATGTGATGTTGAGAGTCCTGTTTCCAGAAGCACAGATTCCTGTGTTTCAGTTTTTATGTTTGTTTATGATAAACATTCAGAAACAAACATGTATTACAAAATGAAAATGATGTCATTGTTTACTCGCCCTCATGTTGTTCCCAACCTGAAAAAGTTTATTTCTTCTGTAAAACACGGAAGTATATTCCAAGTTTTCTGAAGCCATTCTAGAGCTTTCTAGGAACAGACCAAAATATAATTCAAATCTCACATTCTTGGTGGATTTTTTTTTTTATCAGAGGTCATGGGGGAATTTTTTTAGTTGTGATCTCTGATTCATATTTTAAATTAACTGATGAATCCAGTTCACACAAAAAAAAAATGTATGATTCGTTCATAATGTGAGCTTGTCTGGTTCTTTATTTCAGCTCTCATAATTATGTTTGCTATGGTAAATAGTCCATTGGAGATGTGAAGATATTCCTTGAACACAGTCACATGGGTTTGGTATAACAGGAGGGTGAGGAAAATTATGACAAAATTACAAGGACCTTTTTTTGGCATATATTGATTTGTACAGGACCTTGTTTTATCATTACAAAATGCGAAGAATTAAGAATGTTTTAACCTCGTACAGGGAAACAACAGTAGATTTTCTTTTCCTGGAGTAAATTGCGGTGCTTGCAAGGCAGCCAAAAGAGTAGTGTTAAAGTTTTAGCTTAGGGTTTAAGCTATGAAGCTGTCTAAATAAAATGCACAATCAGAGCTGTCATTGTTGTTGACATGATAATGAATGCACATCTCATTTTCTTTTGCCTTTGCACAACAAAAATCAACACACAAATTGACACCTTCTCCACAGTTGCTCAAGCTGATTAAATAACCATAGAAATCCAATTATAATTCAGTATATAAGTGTATGTACGACAGAAGATCAGTTGCAATTCAGAATGCAAATATTACAATGTCATCATAATATTTCAACAAAAAAACTGTATTATTAGTTTGTCTATTTTGTATTTCTTTATTAATCTCTTGCATTTTATTTTATGTCTTTACTTGTTTATTTATTGGTTTAGTTCTAAATTTACAAAGTTTTTTTTTAAAAGGTAGATGGCTAAAATAAAGACAGAAATTGTGGAGAAGAAGTGCAGAATGATTCATGAATATCAAAATAGTGTTGCCTTGCATGCACCAAACATAGATTGCTGAGCGCAAAAAAAATTTCCTTAAGATGGTTTGCAACAATAAATGTTTCACATTTTTGAGCTTGTCTGATCTTTTTCTAGGAGATATCCACACAGCTGTGGGAGACATTTAGAGGACGTTTGTCTTGAACCCAACAGCAAATGCTGACCTTCTCCTTTCAGTATGTGTTATAGTCAACCCCATCAGCATGGGCCTCTGGGTCCAATTGGTTGTTTAATAAAATGGACGTCTTGGAAAGGAGTAGGCCCACAAAGGTAATGCACAGTTCTGTGAGTGATACATTCAACACACATCATGCACAGGTGACATGCAATACAGAGGGACAGGTGAAAACTGTGCCAGCAATAACAGTCAATCAATGCAGTTAGTCACAGACAAAAGCGGAATAACACTGACCACACACAGAGAGGGAATGAGAAGAGATAGACACACAGGGCACAAAGGATCAAGAGAGAGAGAGAGATTTTGTGGCTACAAGCAGCCCATTTCTACAACCGAACACGTTCTTTTTGTTGTGTGCGCTTATAAGAAAGGGTGCTGCGTAGTTCTAATCTACTATAAAAAAGAAAAGGAAAGGAGAAATAAAAAGATTTGTGTGGGGTTTTGAGGAACAGAACGGAAAACAGACCTTTGGATGGGACACTTGCTTTTCTGGCCGGAGCAGCATCTTTAGAGGGGGTTTTCTGAAGTTTAGGAGCAGATTTGGGGGAAGGAGTGGCAGCGGCTGTAGTGACGGGTTTCTTAGTTTTTTTGGCAGGAGCTTCTTTGCTTGGTGCTTTTGTGGGCATTACTTGGGCACTGGGCTTAACAGCATCTTCAGTTTTGGCAGCATCAGGTTCAGGTTTGGCAATAGATTCTGGTGAGGCAACAGACTGGACCATATCAATGCGATCATTATTGCTCGTCTCCAAGTATTTCTCCTGCTTGATCTCTTTTACTTCTTTAGGTTCTCTATGTTCCTCTGCCTTAGGCTCCATCTTGGGTGCAGCATCTTCTTGGGAAACAGGAGGAACAGTGGTCTCATCTTCTTCATGCTCTGGTTCTGGCAATTCTACTTCCTCTTCTTCTTCCCGAGCATCCGTTTGGATGTCTGTAAGAGGTGATTCCTCTTGGGTAGGGTCGGCGGCAGCACTGGGAGAAAGAGGTGAGCCTGGATCCGCCCTGCATGAGTCTGGGCTCTTGCTTTCCGGCGGCGTTTTGTCAGAGCTGCACTCCCAGCCCACAGGACCACTCTGATGATTGGGATCCTGAGGTTCTGTGTAGTCAAACGATAGGCCACGTTTTTTAGCTTCCTCTGGGGTCATAGGAAGATGAGTAGGGATTTCATGTTCACTGTAGTCTTTCTGAGTTGTCAAGTCTGGGGTCTTAGAACTGTGCGCCAAGGAAACTCCTGTTTCTTCCTCTTCTTTGTCACTAACTTCCTCTTTGTCCTCTTCTTTATCCTCTTTCATGTTGATAGCACTTACAGGTGCTTCTTCCACACCGAAAGAACCAGAAAATCTCTCAGACTTTTCTTTTTCATTCTCTTCTTTCTCCTCCACCTCAGATCCACTGGGACTATGATGGTCGGAGATCTTATCCGATGGACTCCTTATCACCTGACTGTCAAAGCCTGTGATTCCTGAACCCAAACCATCAGCAAGGGTTGTTGGCAATGGATGTGGGGACATTGGTGATTCCCGTGGGCTGACAGAGCTCTCTCTTTCCCCATTCTCCTGCTCTCCATCCCCGTCCACTGATGCCGCACTGCTCCGGCCACTCTCTGGCGGACTTCCGGGTGTTAACTCTTCTGATGACATGAGGGCAGAATGATAGGAACAGCCACAGACAACACTGCAGAATTAGCAACACTCAACCACCCTCTCTCTTACAGTCAACATTAGAAGCAGAGAAAGAAAAGGAATCAAGGAACTGAAAGCACAGAACCACGTAAGGAGCCCGAACACAACACAAAAGACAAGTTTCTGTTTTCATGACAAAAGTTAAACAGTCCAAAAATCAGATTTTACACACTAAACTTTGAGTTAGAGGCACTTTTACACAATGCTTGCTAATCTAAATTAACAAGCAGTAGGGTGCAACATGGATTGTACCAAAAAAATGGGTAACTATATAGTTGGCAAAATGAGGGGTCAATTAGGCTGAAGGGGTTATGGGATCAGTTCCTATAAAAGTGCCTCTTCACTCACTCAATCACAACAAAAACCATCAAAACCAAAAGCATAAATATCGCCTGGCCAATCAGACCACAATATTCACAATGACCCACAACATCTCTGTGAGCTTCAGTGTGTAAAGCATTGATGACTGGTAGCAAAATGGCCAATGAAGCAATGAATCAGTGAATTGTATTTTGCAAGTATCATTTAATACACTGATGGAAACTTTTGCATCTGATCTGAGCAGTAAAAAGCATTGTGCTGTGAATGCATTTAAATAACTTTTAATGCATTCAATTATAGCTGTATTTGAAAGCCTCATTATTTTCAGACTTTTCATTTTCTCAGATACAGTGATGCAATATAGAGCCAATATAAACAGATGAATTTAGAAAGAATATAGAAGTGGTTCCCATTGAGATATCATATGCAGTGAAAGAATGAAACTGTGGTGGTCATGAGCACATTGTTTGCATGTAAATCCACTGAACTTTTTTACACTGCAGGTGGATAAGGGGGTGGAGAGCCCACCATACCTTCTCCAGCTCCTGCTGTCCCTCCTGAACAGTCAAAATTGTGAAATCACAAGGAAGCAAGTTAAAAGAACAGATGAGATATGAAGAACATTAACAGCAAAACTGGGATTCTTTTGTCCAGTTTGGGAGGTTTCCTATTACAAGAAATTCGACAAATATATTGTCTTCTAAACATGCTGAATTGTGAATTGAAGTGGCTGGCAGACAAACACAATGCTTATCAACCTATAAATCACAGGAAACAAAGCAAAATGTTTTCATTCATTTAACCCTTCCCCTATAACTTTAAGTAAAATGAGTCTATCATATAAAATAAATAAATGGGGGATGAGAGTCTACATTATGTATGACTTAATAGACATTTGATCTCTCTCTGGCAGTTCATAAGAAGCATGTTAAGTGAACTTTGTAGCAATTAAAGTTGCAGACCCATTTCAGCAGTACTGCAAACATCAGCAACATGTTCTCTAACATGAAATATTCAGCTGATGGCTAATGGTAGTCTAATCCATTTACATCACTCCCAACTTCATAGAACCATAGCATACAACATACGTGACGCTATCTTAATGCCTTTGTCTCAACTAGACAGCTATTTCTCTGACAAGATCGATGTGTTTGTGGCCTTGGGAGATAAATGATAAGAAGTCCATTTACTCAGACCTTGAACTTTTGTGAGGTAATAATGCCCTATGTAACGGCAGAAGAAGGCCTTATTGTTTTTCTTGGGACCATTTGGCCAAATGGTATTTTTCTGTAATTTTAACTTTAAAGTCAAATATTGCAATAGGTTGGTTTCACGTGACGTCACGCTGCTGCATCGCAAGAGCGCGAAAATTCAGATGGAGGGCAGGAAGTAAAATAGCTGAGGATCTGCCATCAATGTTTTGTGTAGTTTACGGCGGCTCCAATCGTTCTAATCGAGAAAAGGGAAAGGGTTTTTATAGAGTACCAAAGATTGTCATTCATAAAGGTGAGAAATGTAAAAAGCTCACAGAACAACGCCGTAAAAAGTGGATTTTTAACGTAACGTTACGTCTGCGGTTTGGGAGGAGCAGAGTCTGTTAATGCCGTGTCTCTGCAGCGACGGTATGTTAGCTAGCCAACGTGTTTTTTTTGTGTCTGTGTTTATATAGCATTAGGTTGTCGTTCAGGGGATCAGTGGGAATGGGACATTAAATGATCAAGGTAAATTAGACTCAATACGGACTCTCCGCAACGGTTTTCTCCATAGACGTATTCTCCATGTTTACTTCCTGCCCTCCATCTGAAATCGCCCAACCTTCCCTCGTCGTCATAATCACGTGACTGAAACCCAGCTATTAAGGAAATTTAAAACAAATATAGTGTACTATGAAATGCACATATTATGTCTCTCTTTTGTGAGAAGTACTGTTATGCGAGTCCTCCAAACAAACTCAGATGTGTGAAGAACATGTGAACACATCTGTATCGTGAAATACAGTGCTACAGTGCTCTGATTTCACTTTTTTTTTTATATTCACAATTTTAAATATGTTTGGCTGTTGCAAGTTTGGTGCCTTAAAACAGCAAATGACAGTGAAGTGTTAACGACAGAAATATATTAGCACTTCCAAATGTACAATATTAACAACAATAATTAGAGCTAAAATTACTTGCGGTTTAATAATAATAATAATTATTATTATTATTATTATGATTATTACATCCTATATCATGCTCAGGTCATGGCATCAGACAGGTACATGCATCTAAGCCATTAGCGGTTTGAGCGCTTTTCTTATTTACTCATTTAACAAATGGATGTTCTGGGCACTACTATTTAGTGTAGTACTCGCCCTGCCCAGAACTGACATTATTCTCTTATGCAAAAAGGAAGGGTGAAGTAGACCTGCCTAATTGCTCTTTGACAAATATTCGGGGCTTTTACTGGCCTTGAATCCTTTAAAGAGTTAGTTGTTGCTTGGGAACATTACTTCCTGTTGCAGCTGCATTTTACAGCCTTGAAGGCATGCAATTAGCTTTCAGTGATTTTTTTTTTCAGTGCTGCTTTACATCAGCAAAAAATCAACTCAACTAAGTTTCCAAAAAGCTTCTAAAAGCATGGCAAGGTCATTCCTGAGAGGATCCAGATGTATTGCTGGTCCAAAAAGCAATGGAATTGTCACTGTTCTGTTGGCAATGTTAATAAGCACTGGTTTTTGGAAAAGCAAAAGCAAGGCATGAATTCTTATGTTAGTGTCAAGTTCCCACTGTTTTTCCATTACTTTTCCTGTTGTTCATTATGATTACATATGAGTGAGAGCTATAACTGCCAAAACATAATTTTGTAAGGGGCAAACTAACTCTCTAAAAGTCAGTGTTATTTTGTTTTCCAAACTTTATTTTACCGAATTTATCATTTTAGAGACATTCTACCTCACCGACTTCTGCCAGCACAATTGAGCTGGAATTTTAGGTTTCTGGTTGATAAGGTTTCGTTTGTGTTCTGTGAGGGAGCCTGGGGCTTGCTGAAAGCTTGTCAGTTGTGCCAGAACAATCCAAAGCAGGTAAGACAGTTATAAACTATGACCTATTTTCTCACATCTGAGCCTTATCCAACTATACATCATAAACTATACATCATAAGAAACACAGAAAGAACTAATCTACGATCAATATTATATGCACAAATTTATTTTTAAAAAACTATTGTGTACAGACAATTCAGGCAGGACACGTGTCTTCTAGAAGCTATTTGTTGATTAACTTTGTTTTCCAACATTTGAAGACATCTCATCATTTATCCATGCATCTTCCAGTTATCTGATGGTGGCATGGTTTTCTCAACTTTTGAACAAATAATTTAAAAAAAATTTAATTTTTAATTATAGCAAATGCATACACAGAGCAATTTTTTGCCAACAAAATACTTGAGCTTAGCTAGATTATATAGATATTTCCACAATTTTTCCATGTATTTGTAAGATTTTATTAATTTCTCTGACTTTTCCCAGGTCTAGAAAAAACATTATTTTTTTGTCAGGTTGACAGACTCTGTCTGACAGTCTGTTCATTGACAGACTCTGATTGGGATTCCTTAAAATTGAACACAATCACCCTGTAAACCGTCTCTCTAAAGTTGTGATTGTGATCTTTATCATCATTCAACAAATGGAAAATAAAGTCCAACAAATAAATTCTACATGACATTTTGCAATTGACCTGAATGAATGAATATCTTCACAGACATTTGAAACCAACATATTGCTGAGTGGGTGTCACTGTCAGCATATGTGTCGGGTTTCTCAATATGAGACGAGACATGAGTGAGAAACACACTGCCATGAGTATCACTCAGCTCTTCTGTGCTTTGTGGGGGAAAAGGGGATTTTCAGACTTTCAGTTTTTTCCTTCTATATACTACAGTATTTCTTCCCTCTTTATACAGACCTTTCACTGGACCGTCACCTGGTCCCATATGTGCTGCTGTCCCGTTCTTCATGTCTCCTTGATGTCCGTCATTGATGGTCATGTTGGCTACACCAGATGCTATGTTGTTCCCAGGAGAGTGCTGAGAGTCACCCACCTGTCCAGAATTCATGTGGTCCTGATGGTCCATTTTGAGATGATTTCAGTCTGTAGAGTTAAAACAGAAAAATAAGCATCAGGAGGTTAATGTTTCAAAGTGACAAATGTGCTGCATTGCCTTTTAACCCCAAAATATTATTAGTAGTATGAATGTACATAGACTTGCACAGACGTATATATAGGGGTTGGACAATGAAACTGAAACACTGGCCAATAAAGTGTTGGAGGTTTCAAACCCATATATGCGCAGCCTGGTGGTTTTACATTCCATAAGAGCAGTGTTTGAAGGTTGAATTATCATAGCAATAGCACAGGACTGTTGCGTTCCCAAAGCATGGAGGTGGAACTTGATGGGCAAGCCACTGTGCACCTAATGGTTTAAACATTGTACCCTGAAGGGGTAATGATAATGCACACAGCAAGTTGAACATCTTCCATGGCCTGCACAGTCACCAGATCTAAATATATTTGAGCCTCTTATTTTGGATTTTGGAGGAGCAAGTCAGAAAACCTTTTCCTCCACCAGCATCACATAGTGACATGGCCAATGTTCTGGAAGAGGAATGGCTTAAAATCCTTCTGGGCACTGTGCAGGACTTGTATATGTCATTCCCAAGACGAATTGATGCTGTTTGGCAGCAAAAGGAGGCCCTACTCCATACTAATACATTATTGTGGTTAGGGTTGCACAGTATACCGATACAGGGAAAATAACGGTATATATTTTATTTAAAACCCTATTATGATATGATTTTGCTAATTTCGGTACTTGATACGCTGCTGTTCCGAAGTTCACCGCTAGGTGGCAGTGTACTACCCAAACTGCCACGAAACCGTCAAATGTGGCAACATAGAGGAACGAAATGGATAAAGCAGGTGAATCTCCCTCAACACGCCCAAAACTAATTAATAAAAAGGGCAGTAGAAGTGAAATTTGGAATTACTTTGCGTACAAAACTGTTGAAAAGGTGAAACAGATTTTACCACACCAGTCTGCAAGTTTGCCTCGGGAGGAAACACATCAAACCTTGCCAAACATCTATCGCTTACCCATCCTAACTTGTACAAAGTGTTAGGAGATCAAAAGGTGAGTGTAGGGCTGCACAATTAATCGAATTTTAATCACGATCACGATTTTGGCTTCCCACGATCAAATTCGCGTGACCGAGCGATATTTAAAATGCCTCATTCCGGTCATATAACGCTCCGTATCAATTTTTTTACTTTTTTTTTTTTTTTGCAAAGCCAATCTAACGGTCCGTAAACCACTGTCTGATCACGTGCCTCCATGAGCCAATCAGAGTTGTTCCCTGCGCCACGCAGCTTAGTTTCTAGATGTAGATTATGACCCCTGGCGCCTGACTGGACAAAAGCGAAGCGAACTGCGCGAGCGAGCAACACTGCGCGAGAGAGACCGAGTGTGTCCGAGAGCGCGCTCGACAGTGCACGAGAGAATACCGAGTGTGTCATTAGTAAATTGCATTAGTAAATTGGTACATGCTACATAGTAATATATAATTACTATATAAGAGGCATGGAAGTTCGATTAATGGACTCCAATAATCAGTACTACAAACGTTTTGAAATTATTGTTTAATAAATAGAAATAATTCGAGCACATAAACTTTCATATGGAGGAGTAAATGAGATTCAATTTATGCAGTAAGATTGCACAACTAATCACTGACACTGTACCACAACCAGGTTTTACGTTTCTTAAGCGTCAGTCAAATAACAATGACTCTGAATTTTATCCATTAATCGAACTTCCATAGTGCCTTGAAATGTTCTCATTTGGTTACATTCTGTTATGGAATATTTGTTTTTTATTGATTGTATATTTTGAGTTTTATTCACATCCATTATGCAGGTACAATGCAAGTTTATATTTTGCTTCCTAAAATATATTTACACAATGTAAAATGGAAAATAGTGCCCTGTTGACGTTTTGTTACATTTTCTTTATTGTTTTCTTTATTTTTATTTATTCTTTAAGGAGATGCACTAAATTTTGGTGAATAAGAGGACCTATTTTATTTTGATGCACATATTTGTACATTAGCAGGAATGTAGCACAATATGGATGTGAAAGCAGTTATAATTAGCCTAGGTGACAATAAAATTAGTTTTGGTTAAAATCAACAAATAATCGTGATAATTAATCGTGATCTCAATATTGATCAAAATAATCATGATTATCATTTTGGCCATAATCGTGCAACCCTAGGTGAGTGCATCATTGAAACTAAATCTAATTTAGGCATTTATTTACTTTTAACACTAATCAACGCACATACATAAGAGCCGCGTATCGTTTGAATAACATGAAAGCTCCAGCTCATGCATTTTATTTCTCAACTGTTTATGTTCACTTAAGACATAACCGACTTGGTTTATCTGAATACTCACCAAGACAGACATTTTGACAAATTTGTGTGTATTTGACCTTTTAAGCGCAAGCGGAACTCAATTTGAAATGCAGAAGCTCTTTGAGAGGTGGCTTTATTTGTGCGCACTGTGGTTATGAGGGCAAAGAAAACCATCTCTCAAAGAGCCATCTCTAAATGAAACCTGCGGAAATAGTAAAATTATGCACAATACTTGCAATCCTGCGCAGAAATTCAGACCCTGTATGGTATCGATTTAATATCGATACTATGGTATTTAATCGTGGTACCGTACCGAAGCGAAAATTGTGGTATCGAGCCAACACTAATGTGGTCTAAAATCTCAGGTGTTTCATTGTCCAACCCCTGTAGTTGTTAGTTAGTTCATTCATTGATAGATGGTAACCTTTATTTAACTACAATAAACTGTTTTAGTTAGTTAGCTGGATAGTAGCCTTTTTTTAACTACAATAAACTATGATGTTTTAGTTAGTTGCTCAGGTAGGAGCAAAGAAAACTACTTGATACAGTATGTGATACAAAAGCTTACATAGATTTATGCAAGTATGTGATACAAAAGCTTACATGAATGAGTAAGCTGGTAGGTTGGTTTGTTGTTAGTAACCTTTATTTAACTATGATAAAACTATTATGATAGTTAGTTAGTTAGTCAGGCAGTTAGTTTGTTAGTTAGGCGGGGAAATGTTCACAGACGTGACAGATGGTTGGTTAAATGAATGAGGGATTGATGGCACTGGGATTTCCTTTCCTCTTAAAGCATACCCAGAGAAAAGAGTATCCTGTTATTTTACTTATGGTCACTGATGTGCTGTGTCGTGTGTGTCTGAGTGTGTGCTTCCTGTTACAACTAATGTGGTTTTCATTTTAGCAGTTCTGCTTTATACTTTGAACAAAGTAGATTAAACTTATGTAGTCCCAGCAGAGCTATTTGTAAATCCACACTCGAGACAGTAAAGTGAACACTCTCATCCATCTCCTTCACACAGGACGCCTATAAACATGAATTCCATTATTGTCCAAATGGAATAGATGGCTTACATGCAACATTGCCACATCCCATAAATCCTTTTTGTCAATGACCCACGTGTACGTAATCAGACACCAGATTCCAGAATGATTTGCTTTGCTCTGAGATCACACAGCAAGGTCATCTGGATGAGGGGGGCATAATGAAAACCAAGTTGTTTTAGGCAAGAAGTGCTGTGGAGCTGAAAATAGTGCCAAAGCTGCAGGGGTGGATTTACATTTGTCAATTACATCATCTTTACAGTCAGCAGTGACCAGCAGGATGGAACAGCATCAGATGGCAAAATGGCTTTTTAAAGGGATAGTTCACCCAAAAATCTGTTTTCATTTGTAAATCCATATGACTAAGTACGAGTGGAGCAATTTATGGTTTTTGTGGCCTTTTTACACTTGGAAGCTTTGGTTCCCATTTATTGTAAATGCATGGCAAAGAAAATGGAAAACAGTTGTCAAATTTACACCTTTCATGTTCCACAGATTCATATGGGTTTGGAACAACATTCATATTTTACTATTCCCTTATGCTATGAACCTGAAGGTGTTTTGTCCCCAGGCCAGTAGGGATGTGCCCAAAGCCTAAATCGAAAATCGGAAAGGCATGGAAAATGAAAAACGCATAGATAGTAAGGAGAGATGACTGACATGACGATATCAGAGGATTTGGTACGCAATAGATCCTGAGTGTCATTGACAAATATCTTATCTTGTAAAATGCCTGGTCAGTACCGCCGCTCCCCAACAGAGTACGCGTGATCTTGAATTAGAAAGCGAAAGTAAAATACGAGCGTACATTCAAAAGCGATTACAATACCCCGCATATTGATGGGATAAAAGTAGCCCGCAAATTATATACAATACAATTACCAAACGAGGGGTGTAACGATAACCTAATGCTTGCACTCTGTCACTGACTAGATATGTTTAAAATAGTGTAGGCCACTTTTTACAGGTAACATAAGACATTTGGCATTATCAGGACCCACAAATATTCCTGCATTGCATTATTATACACTATATATTTAACACTATATAGTAAGTAAAACTCTGTAAACTTGATTTTTTTCCCAGTCATTTTTATTTTATTTTGGGTGACCTATACACAATACAGATTGTCACTATCCACGATACATATTGTTGCATTTTTGTATTGCGATATAATGTGACACGATATATTGTTACGGCCCTATACCCAACTATATAATTGCGAGAGAACGTAAAAACATTGAAATATATTTTTTCTATCACCATGTCCTTTTAGGAAAGCCGCTTTATTTCCTTTCTGAACATAGTATTCGGCTTCGGGCACATCCCTAGTCCCAGTACCATGACTGCACAAGTGTGTTGAAGATTGGGAAGCATCTCTCTCAAAATACCACAGTGGGAATCTGCCACCTTTATAATAAAGTCACACAAGCTGGATTTCCCTGAGGCAGCAGTGGTGCAAATTCAAGCCTGACTCCCGCAGGGTCCTCATGCATTATTAAGAATGGGCTGTGTGATATCAGTAAACAGAGCTTAGAAACCATCTGCAACCACAGTCAGTCCAGAACTAGATAAGCAGTGGAAACCACCGCTACATCAATAGGCACTGATGTATTTACTAAAAATGTTTGT